AATAGTAAGCTCGCTAGTTACTATAGCATAGAGAGGTCGCACGAGCTGCTATCGCGTATATACTACGAGCTAAATAGTAAACGGTATATAAAAGAATACGTACTATTATTAATATTACCTACTCGCTACTATTGCTAACCTTACTTGTTATCGCTACTACGCCTGCAAAAACAACCTTACCTATACTACGCTAACTAAGTTAAAAGATTAAGCGACTAATAGACTAACTAATAGACTAACTAAGGGCAAAACTATAGAGCTAAGCTAGCTAGGGTCGATCTTGCGGATAATAGGTTACTCCTCGATCTTTCCGACCCTTTAAGCGAAGCGAACCTTAACTATTATACTTATAATAGCCTTTACTTATAGAAACTAGACGAGCTGTATTTTTTCTAAAAAGATAAGATAAGATTAACAATTAAAGGCTGCTAAACCTAACTAATTAGAGCTAGTAAAACTACGATAGTAAATAATAGCCCTCGTAATAATAAGAATAACCCTCGGAAGCGGACATTGCTAGGTCTTTTAAGAGTAGACGCAAAGAACTCGATACGATATTACTTAGAACGGAGGCAGTGCTATAATACCTCGTACGCCTACCTATTATAGTAGGGAAGACGCGCTCGTATTGTAATTAGTCGATAGTCCTTAATTCTTATAGATATATATTACTTTATTATATACAAGGATAGCGTAGTTAGAGTTAGACATTATATTAGAAGGTAAGGTTTGATATAGTTATATAATTAGGTAGTTAAGTATTTAATTTAGCGCGAGCTAAGCAGCTTATTAGACTTGCTAAGTTAGCAACAATAGAGGTCGAGATTAGAATATAGATAGGCTACGAGGGCGCGGCCTTTAGAAGGGAAGCGTGTATTAGGGCTAAAGAGGCTATACACGTAATTAGCATATGACTAGGCTAAGTAAAGCTAGGGTCTTAGTGCCTTAGGTAGGGCTTAGCGCTTAGCGTTAGGCTAACTAGCCCGCCTTCCTCCTTCTCCTCCTAGATCTCTATCGAATACTACCTATACCTACTACTACCCTATCTACCTGCTAACATAACCCTTCTTATAGTAGTAAACTGCTCTATTATAATTTATATATAAAGTAACTATATTAAAGTCCCTTATAGTAATACCTTACTATACGAGAGAATAGCAAGCTTCGCTATAAAGGTAGGTAAATAGCTAGGTAAGTTTACCTTCTTCTATAGCGTACTCGGCGCTCTCGACAGTAGCTATATTATAGTAAATCTACCTACTAAATATTAGTCGTTATAGCGTAACGGAAAAGGCCCGGGATAGATATTAGCTAACGTTATAGCGGTATATAGAATTAATATAAAGTTATACTATATCCTAGTCCGTTATATAGGGTTAGCTACGGATACTACTATCTATAATAGAGCCGTTAGATAGGGAGGGTTTATCTAATATTATACCTAAAGGGCGCTATTATCTAGCCGACGCTAGCTATTCTTTTAGTAGAAAGCGAGTAATCGTACTATACTAGTATATAGAATATTACCTCTAAGAGACTATTAAGGTAGACTTAAGGCCTAAGAATAAGAAAGAGTTATATAACCTACGGTATTCTTAGCTACGTAACGTTATCGAGAGGCTCTTTAGCGTACTAAAGAGTAGGTTTAAGATACTTACTAAGGGCACGCGCGCTAGCTACTTACTTATCGCTTAGCTTAGGTTTATTACCTCTTACTTTGTTTTTTTACAACCTTTTTACAAACTATAGTATATAGTCGCTAGAGAGTAAGGGCTATCTATACGACTTCGACGATCTAGACGACGCTCTATCTAATAAGAAGTTAGAACCTATATAAAGAGCTTCTAGGGCCTAAGAATAGACCGAGTAATAAAGATGCTATTAGTAGCGAAGGATAGATATTAGATATTTAAAGAGAAATTGTTGTAAGGTATATAGGTATCTTATACTAGATACTACGAAAATAACGGTTTGGATATATATAGACTATAGGATACGCTAGATAAGTAGGTCGAGAGTACGTAGGCGCACTAATTAGCAATTAGAGGACATAAGCTTAAAGCGGCATTTATAGTAGCGAATCTACTATTTCTTCCTATTCGAGCCTATTTATAGTATTATCTATTCTTTCTTAATCCTCTTCGTAATAGCTTAATGTTATATTAGTACGGTTTTAGCGGAATAGAGTTTAGGTTTCGAGGAGTAAAGAACTTATATTTATATAAAAGCTAGTTACCTACGTTTTGTTAAAGCTTAGTTAATTGCTAATAAAATCAAATTAATTTAAATATCTAAGTTATTAGTATATAAGTACTGTACTTCTTAGTCTTACCTTCCTATCTTTAGTAAATAAGCTTCTATATAAATATAGCTAAATCTAATCTTAGCTTTTTTACTATTATAACTCTACTATCTATAAAAACCTCTTATTACTAATTGCTATAATACGTTAGTTAGTTGCCTACGAGCTGGGAGCGTAGATACTACTACTATTAAGCGTATTCTTCTTAAGCGCTCTACGCTACCTTAATTCGTCTAAGAAGGGTAGTAAAGTATCTCGAGAATAGCTCCTTCTTATTACTATCTTCGAGCTAGCCGATAGTAAGTTACGTATACTAGATAGACTCTTAGAGCCCTTCTTATTACTAATCTTAGCTAGAATTAGTATCTAATCCTCGAAGGTAATATTCGGAAAGGTAGCCTCGTCTATTAGTCGATTACTAATCTTTAAGATAGCTAAACCTATAGTAGTATTCGACTTCTTAATAGACTTTATAAAGGTCGGTAATATCTGCTAGAAGGGTAGTATAACCTTTTTTACTAAAGCCCTCTACTCCTTTATAGAGATACTACCTATTTTCTAAGTAGTGGCTTAGTAAGCGCCTTTGCCTTTACCTTCTTGTGCTTCTTAGTATTCTGCGCCGTAATAACCGCTTATTTCTCGTGCTCCGAGAGCTCGTTAGGGTTAGTATCTGCTTCTTTGCCCTCGTTCGCTATCTCGCTATAATAGCTGTTAGAACTGGCTTCTTCTTTCTTATATTCTTCCTCTCTGTTTACCTTGCTTCTAGAGTTAGTGTTAGTAAGCGCCTGTCTGTTTGCTATGCTACCGCTAGTCGCTGTGTCTCTTCTGTAGATATTCTCTATCTCTACCGCAAACTTCGGCGCCGTAAACTTATACTTCTAATACTCTTTATATACTTTAAAGTACGCCTTTATAATAGCTAGATCTTTAGGCGCTAGCGGATAAGCGCTATTCTAACTACTAAGGTATTTAAGGTACCTCGCGTAGGGCCTAAATTCCTTCTTTAACTTGCGCTATTTGCCCCTTAACGACTCCTATTTAAAGAATAGCTTATACTTTAATAATAGTACTATAGTAAGAGCGCGCTATTTAGGTACTTTAGTCTAGTTATCGGATATCTTACCTCTATTTTTAAGCTTCTTAAGTGCTAATAATAACGCTTTAATGTAGGTTGTCTTATATCTAGTAATCCTCGAAAACTACGGCCTAATAACTTTGTTTCTTTTATTTTCTTTAATTTTATCGACGATATTATTTTATTTATACTCGCTATCGGAGCTCTCTTTATAGGCGTCTTTACTATTATAACGATAGATAAGAGTTAGAAGTAATATAATAATAGATAAGCGATAGTAATAATAGCGATTATTAGTAATAGTAGTAGAAAAGCGATTTTCTATATAAACTTAGAATAAGTACGGATATCGCGGATACCTCGGGATCCCCTATTCCTATTCGTTTACTAAGAAACCCCGGTTTTTACGATATTCCGAGCATACGGAAAATCTATTCTTATTCCGACTAGGAATTCCTATTCCTGCAGTAGGCAAAGCGCACCCTAGTGACAGTTGCAACTAAGTTCCAATCTGCCGACATACCTTCACTAGTCGCCTCGCCTGCGTTTGCTGGTCCACATGCCGCGACTCGCTACGTCGTAAACGGCGTGCATTCCCACCTATACTGAACCCGGCGATGCACGTCTCAGCACAAGTGGCCTGAGGCTCAATGCAGCGTCACACTCACACACCCGACGTCCAAGTGCCGAGACCATGTGTGGCCCGCTGCAATGCCGTCCGCAAGGCAAGCCGAATACGACTGTCCGGTATGTAAATGGCTCTTGCGCCGTTGAGTTCCTGGTTACATACCGTACAGTATAACGCTGCTATGCAGCACCGGCATTAGTTGTTGTTCAATACTGTAGCAACACGGCCAACCCGGGCCTCCTGAGAGCTCGTGCTGACGCGAGATGGATGTACGGACTACGGAGCCAGGCATGCCCATCCTCGCGTCAATATCTTCATTGAGGTAATTTGAACAGGAAGCTGATGGCCTGATGCCTCTACTAAGTTCTGTACTATTTTACAAATGCCACTCATGCTATTATTGATCAGCGAGCGTAATGTGCCTCCTCCAGGGACGAACGTGCACACGTGCGAGCCACCCGATGCCATCCATGCAGTGTCTGCTCCAAAGCTACAACAGATCTGATTTTAGACATTAGCCGCATAAAGCGCTTCCCCAAGATCCTCATGAAAATGCTGACATACACAGACTGGTGCTATTTGGCTTCTTCAACGGAGACGGCGTTCGTACTCCTTGACGCGGTCCGACGCTGCCAGAACCAGCCTCCGCTCGACGCCGCAGCCTGAGCTTTCTCCTCGCCCTTTTTACCTACCACGATATCCGATTGAACTTTCTCTTGCGCGGGACTTCCCACCACCGGCGTGACCTTCCCTGTAGATGGAGTGTCAAGTGGATTGCCTCCATCGACGAAGGGTGTCGGTGGTAGCGAGAACATTGGGCTGCTAACTCCCGGGATTGTGGATAGACGAGCATTCTCTGCTTCTTCCTTCGCCGCCTGCGCAGCTGCTTGTGCTTCCTGGACAGCCTTTTGGGCCTCACCTTTAGCAGCCTCCAGCTCGGCCTGCATCTGTGCAATCGCCTCTTCTTGTCGGCGTTTTGCAACTGCCATCGCTTTCTTGACCTCGTCAAGTTCCTGTCGAGCCAGCGCCTCAGATGTCTTCGCATTGACAAGTTCTAGGACTAAGGCTTCCTCTGGAACCGGTTCATGCTGCGTAGTCGCAAAGACCTCCCGCGTGGCAAGAGACGAGGTCCTCTGCGAGAAGCCACGGCGATGCACCGTCAGTCTCTCACTGGTCTCAGGTACTGGGGACTGTGCCCCGGACGTAGGCGATGGATCAGCTGGTGAGTACCCAGGAGAAGCCTCGTGGTCTGTGCTACCCGTGCGGATGATAGGTGGTGGCGGTGGCGCCATGTCAGTGTAGATGGGCGTTGTGTTCCTCGAACTCTGACGCAGACTCTGTACTGAAGAGCTTGACTCTCGTCGACCAAGCTTCAGCTCACGCAGACCACCAGCATTCGCGACAGATCCTGCCGGCAAGCTGGAGACACTACCTTTCCTGCTTTGCGGATCCGCTGCAAATGTGCTCTGAGTCGGGACCTGTTGCAGACTCTCAGCCCGATTCAGCCGCTCCTTCCTTTCGACAGATCTGGCCTGAGCCTTGAGTTCCGTGAGCTGATGCTCCAGCTTTTGCCTTGCCTTGAAGTCGTCATTCACGCGTTGGCGTAATTCCCTAACTTCTGATCGGAGGTCATCGGCTTCGCTTTGGGAAGTCATCAGGGAGGCTTCTGAAGAGTCCAGCCGTGCTGCGAGATCTCGTGACTGGGACTCAGCAACAGCCAACTCTTCTCTTGTCCTCGCAAGAGTGCTCCGCAGCTGAGCTTTCGTCTCGAGGCTAGCAGAGAACCTGACATTGGTTTGCAACCGATTCTGGGCTTTCTCTACCAGGTGCTCAAGCCCGTCCTTTTCTGGCACCTTCTCGCTACCGTCAAGCTGAACGTTAGTCCAGTCCCCCACGCTCAAGGGACGGCTCCTCGGAGGAAGCTCAAGTTCATCTTTGTTTGCAGGCGGAGGCATGGTACGTCGTCGGTCATCCTTGTCGTCTTTCCTCAGCTTACCAACGATTTGCCGCATGACCTTCTGGTCTTCGCTGCGCTCCTCGCGTTCGCGCTGAAGCATTGCAGCAAGCTGTGCGTGCTCTCTCTGCATTTCTCCGATTGCAGTCAGCAGGTCCTCGATTTGGGCGTGAAGCTCCTGCTGCTGCAGGCTCGGGGTTGTGGCAAACATTGATTCGGCCTTGGACTTCGTGCTGACACTATTGGCAACGCTTTCTCGTATCGTGTCTTGATCGTTCGCGTTTGGTGTGTCGGGCTCTGTGATGGCCGTTGATGCTAAGCTGGGAGCCGAGGAGCCAGTTGTTGATGTGCTGTCTTCGCTGCTTGAACTCTCAACGACTCCAATGCTTTGCTTGCTGGGACTGCGTCTGAGAAAGCTCGATGGTCTGCCAAAGAATCCTGTTGACATGCTCGTTGCATTTTTATCAAGGGTGGGTGGTGACAGAGTGCTGACGCTTGGCTTTAGCATATGACCAACAGGTTTGCTGGGAGTCGAAGCGTGTCCAGGAGTCCACAACCGACCAAGGAAACGTGATGCTGCTGCTTGAACATCAGGCAAGAAACCAGCACTTTGTCCAACCGTCTCAGATGACTGATTCTCAAACTCTTTCTCCAGCTCAGACAAGCCAGCGTGTGTCACAATATCACCCAAAGATGTGAAGTCATCGACCAGTAAGTCGGCGTCGCCCCCGTAGACGTCCCACATCTCGCGTCCGAGTAGAAGCTGCATGACCTCTTCGAATTCACTAGTTGCCACCATCTTCTCCTCGTGACGCCTCATCAAAGATAACGCAACGCGCATCACAGTCTCATTCGCACCTTCCGCAAAGATCACATCGTAGATTCGGAAGAGCATGGGGAGAGGGCATGTGACTGCGAAGCAAGACAGGAACCATTGTGACAGATACGCAGGCTCAATGCCTAGGTGCGCAAGATGTTCGTGGAGTTTCGGGTGGTGTTGTTTCAGCAATGAGGAGAACTGGTATATTCGCATGTGCAAGCCGGACAGGGAAGGAAGGAACGAGGGTCGGAGGGAGTAGTGGTCCATGAGGCTGGAGGATGGTCAGCGTACAGTTCTCCGTATATCCATAGTTGCATGCTCACCGGACAAGGACGCAAAACGCTTCCCGCTCACCCATGTTCATGAGCAGCGGTCCAACCAAGAAGCCCAGGCCTTGACAATAGCCGATATCTTTGTCATGCAAGGAGAAGCATTGCAGCACTCTGCCAAGCATCTTCTGACCATCGCCTTCAGCATCCCTAAAGAGCTCGACGCCCGGAAATGATCGGCCAACATCTTTGTTGATGATGCCCTCGTAAGGACTCTTTTCACCAAGCAGTCGCTCATAAGCCTCCTCCAAGTCTCGATCTCGAGCGCCGGCCATTGAAGTCCACACTACGCCGCGTAGTGGGGGAGGTATGCCTGAGCGAATTTTGGTTGTGGTCAGGGTTGGTAAGCGGACTGCTGTGCTCGGGTAGTCCTGCACGAGAGCCGCCCAGAACTCTAGCTCGGTCATCGGTGGCACTTCATCAGGAATTCCAGTGTTGAAGGAAATGCTATACCGAACAGAAGGCGCGTCCCGGTCGGCTACCAGCTTCTTGATCAGCGCCATACTTGGCGGGCGGCTGTGTGCTCGTGCGCGCGACGACGGCTTGTTCGAAGCTGCCTTGGGGTCTGCAGCAAACTTGGCATTCTCCTGCTCCAGTCTTGCCAATAAGAAGGCTGTCGACTCATCCTCGACGCCGTCGGGCAGACTTCTGTCTTCTTTCTCCTGTTCTTCGGTCTTGTCAAGAGCCTGCCAGTCGACTTGGATGTCATCTCCTGAGGCATCAGAGCTGCGTCGACTCGGGCTGCCACTTGGACTTGTCAATGTCGGCGTTGAGATATAGTTGGGCTCTAGAAGGTCAATGCTATCCAGCGTAGCAGTGGTGGGTCGACGATCCATGCTGAAGTCGGTATTCGGTTCTTCAGCAGGGTGTCTACGCGTCTCCCATAGATCTCTGCCTTGGGTGAATTCGATGGCAGACATGGGCGTAATGTCCCCGTCGGTGGTGTCGAAGATGGTGGTCGGCGTGTCGCTGCCGTCAAACATTGTGCTCTGCCTCTCTGGTTGGGGCCATTTGTTCTGCAAGATATCTAAGCTGCTGACTTTGCGTAGGTGTCGACGGACACCATTCACCCGTGGCGTCGCCAGGACGTCAGTGACTTGCTCTGTGCTCAGATGGTCGTAGTCCAGACTGCTTTCTGACAACGCGATGCTGGTCATGCTATCCCGGCATACGTCATGCTCTTCATTTGGCGTTGTCGGCGTGCTGGGGCCCTTTGGCGTCTCGGGCTGCGGCGATGAGGACAGTCGGGTGTCGTCGAAGGGCTCGTCGTGCAGGGTGGTGGTGCTGATGAAAATGGGGTTGGTGGTCTCCTGGGTAGGAGTAGGTAGGTCGCTATCGTTGCTGGAGCTGGAACTGGAGCTGGTATCGACTGCGTCTGGTGTCTCTGGTCGGCGTGTGTCTCGTGCCCCCGTTGTCTGCTCAACCTCCGTACCGGCTGCAGCAGACATATCCTGTTCGGCGAGATGGCGGTGGGTGTGCTGGATGTCTGGCTCTGGCTCTACCAAACAAGACCCTCTCCTCTCCTGCGTCGATTGAGTCTCCTGCATCTCATCCACGCCCACGCCCATGTTCACGTTCACGTTCACATTCAGGCGCTGCTCGTTCTCCTTCTCACTACTCATCACCCAAACAACAATGGGCTCTGGGCCGGCAGAACCCCCGTAATAAGATGAAGCACAACCTTAAGGCACCTCTGTATCGATACGCAGCTACATGGATCTGCTGCTGCATCTCCTCCCCAGATCTCGCACGCAAACAAGGAAATCGAGGTCAGATCGGATACTGACACGAAGGAGTGGACGGTGCACTGCGCTGCACGCAAAACGAGTGAGCGGCGTGGACCAAGAGTTGCTGGAGTGAAACACGCACCAGATGTTCAAAGGGGTCCCCACCAAGCATCAAGCATGAGCCAGGGAGCGCTAATCAGGGGCTTTTGATCCACCGATTCCAACCCGCAAGAAAAAGCCGGCGCGACGAGCCGAGCCGAGCCGACACGAGCCGAGCCGAGCCGCTCACCTTCCCATCTTCATTTCCCATCCGACAAATAATAATGACCACATTCGTCGTTGCAGATCTACTACACTTCGTTTGACCTGCTGGGTGAAGCGTCAGCTTATTCCCCATCTTCATAGAGAATCTGATGGCCAATGGCTACATCCGCAAAGAACCTGAATCAGGTGCTGTATACACCGGCAAGGCCCACCAACTCTTCTACAATGACATGTCTGAAGAAGCTGCTATGGATGGCCACGCCACAGAGCTAGGTCTATCGTCCCTGCACCTGAAAGTCAGTGCTACGAATGTCAGCAAATGTTCTTGCGCTGAACGACTTCGGACAAGACAATCGTGATAGCATTGCTACGTTCGAGACCGTGGCTTTGGCTCCGGTCTGATAATGAAGCCATGTCTGGCATACCGGCATACCAGGCTTTGGGAGATCTGGATGGCCTGGCACGACTTCTCTTGCTACTTCTTTGTTTCGCGCCAGCAGACTTGGCTGCAGGGCCGGATGTGAATGTTGGTGGTCATAACAAAGAACAATTTTCATTGTCTCTGGTTGGTGATTGCGCAGAACCCCAGTAGGTCCCTTGCAGCTTCGCGGTATTGGAGAATTGTTGGAGTCTTGAAGAGGTTACGGTGTAGAGGAGAGATGCCGCCAAAGTCGAGAGCGGCGAAGGCGAAAGCTAATGGTACAGAAGACGTATCACCAGCACCGTCAGCCTTGGGCAAGAGACCGCGTACTGGCATCGCGGAGGGAAGCCAGACTGCTGTGCCACCTCCGGATCCGGACGTGGCTTCAGCCATCGTAGAAGCTGATGATCAGAGAGAAGAGCCTCCCGTGAAGAAGAAGAGGAAAAAGAAGGGATCTTCTCAAGCAGCCGCTGGTGCTGGCATAGCACGTGGCGCCTCAACAACCGCTAAAGCTGCTCTTTCTTCATCGAAGAAGCCACTCGCAACTGCACCTGCGCCTAAGAGGAAATTGTCCAGAGAACTAGATGGTCTCAAAGATGGCCGGAGCGAGCCCGATGCATCGGCATATGGCAGAGACTCTTCTGATACTGAGGGCAAGCGTCGCTCAAAGAGGCTCAACAAAGCTGTGCCTCCAGCGTCAAATGTCCAGCAGCTACCACTTCCCGTGATCGTCGAGGAAGAAGAGCAAGAAGAGAACGGCCCGTCAAGACGATCTGCGAACGGAGGGCAACAAGCACCGCTTGCTCAGAATTCTCATGATCCGGGTGCGGTGATCGAAGGTGATGTCGACGATCAGCCGCAAGATCCTGTCTCACGCCGGGCCACAAGTCCACGAAGCACACCCAGTTCAAATAGGCGAGACAAGGAGGGCTTAGATGCTTCTCGCGAAGATCTCCGCAATTTTCGGCCCGCCGCTCCCATCGATTTTAGTACCATTGATGTTGAGGAAATATATCGAAACTTCGCTCCTTACGGTGGAGGAAGACTACAACCTCATTCCTCCGAAAAAGAGGTACGAGAACGATATGAGCGCGAGAATCCCAGCGTTCGCTACACGGACTCCAACCAGATACCGCCAGACCCCAGGGAGCCTAAAGACCCTAGCGATGGCGATGGCGATGGAGATCGTGGGCTTAAGCTCTTTGCTCCCATCGAGCCAAAGTATGCTGTTCGTGCGCGAACGAATGATGCAAAAGCTCGTTGGCATGATGATGGCTGGGACACGGTTTGGTCTACTCTGCGCGCTCACAATCCACCAGATCGCATCTATGAGATGTACGACTATTGTTGGAGGGATTCGTGTCAGTTGAGAGACAGGGCGTATTTCGCAGACATTCCAGACTGGCCAGCAGGTACTTTGCCATCGGCCTTCTTCCCACAAGTTCGCAGGGCAGTCGAAGTCGCCATGATGGAATCTTTGGTGCCGCAATGGAAAGAGCAGATTGTCTTAACTGGGCAACAATTTGGCGACGCAGGTGCGCGGGATCTGGAACAGAAACTGGCTGCAATGAAGAATGGTGTCGGGAATGGGACTAAACGACCGGATATTCCAAGGGATAATGATATGTTCGAGGCTGAGTGGGCTGGTCGACTTCAGCAATTCGCACAAGGGAGCTTGGGCCCACTCCGAGAATCGACACGGAGGACACAACACAGGCTCAAAGCAGCGCATCGGCGTGCCCTCAAGATTCGCAGCGATTATGATATCCGCGTTCGTCCTCCAATCTTGAACGATGGAGTTATCCACACGTCTATGGAGCACTACTGTAATCGTCTTCACGTAATCTTGCGTCAAACATTGATCGACTATATCAAGCCAGTCTGGCCGCCAGCTCCACGGAGTCCTCGCACCACAGACCGATATAATCGAATGATATACAGAGTCGTCCAAGGTCAGAATCCCTACCCTCCTGGGCAGGCTTCACCAAAAGAGCTGGATTTCGTAGATATTGCGACAAAAGAGATCGGATTCGATCATGTGCGCAGCCAGCAAGATCCAGGCCGCTGGGAATACAGGGAGCACCTCGGCAGTGGTTCCTTTGACAGGTGGGAGTCTGGGTTTGCTATAATGAATTCGGCAAGATCATTGACAGGCTTGCCATCAAAGACACGTATCTGGCAAGTACCAAGGGACTTGGGTTCAATGCTTGGAAACAGGCAGGCTATGTGAGGAGACCTATGGTGATTTCATTTCTGTCAGAAGACAATGTTGCTGACTCTTTTTAGTGGTACAAAGACAAGAACGACAAGATCCCAAAGGAGTACGCAGCTTTGGCCATGCTGAACAGCTGCGAGAGCTCTGCAAACATCGTCCATTGCAGGGCCTATAGTGTCTACGATGAGAGAGGCATGTACAGGCTATACACCGAGTACTGCGGACACAATGATCTGGAATACACGATCGACAGATATCGTACGCTGGCAATGCTAAATGCGGACATGGCAGCCATCGGCGGAACAAGTCCAGAACAAGCGTAAGTACATATCAAACACGACCTCCCAAAATGAAGAGTACTAACCACTTCCTTCTCTAGCCGTATCCCAGACCGAGTTCTCTGGTGCATCCTCGAAGCCTTATCCTCCGCCGCCTGCCTCATGGACCTAGGCTACATCCCAACCGGCGACCCAGACACAGACACCCCACCACCAAACTTCCAGCAGATGCTCCATCGCGACATCAAACCCCTCAACATCTTCCTCTCCACCCCTCGCTCCGACAACCACTGGCCCAAAATCCCTACGCCAAAACTTGGAGACTTCGGCGGTGTAATCTTCTGCGACGAACCCGAAGCCTCAACACAAATCTACGGTACACGTTGCTACACATCCCCCGAAGTCCTACGAAGAGGCATCCCTCACCCCATCACTCCGAAAGCAGATATTTGGGCAATTGGACGCGTCATGTTGTCGTTGATCAATTTGAATTTTCAGGATGATCATGAGTTACTCTCAAGAGAGTCGGAGGTGGATTTTGTGAAGACGCCGGATTTTAAAGCTGGGGCGGAGGAGGGTAGACATCCTTTGCTTTGTGAACTGATCAGAAATTGTTTGAACCCTTTGCCCGCGGATAGGCCGACAGCGAAGGAGCTTTGGATGAGGGTTTGGAGGGAGGTAGGGGTTGAGGAGCCGATGACTAGGATAAGGTGGGAGGAGGATGAGATGTTGATGTTTGAGAGTGACAAGTATGAGGCTTTTGCTTCGTGAAGAGGCTTCAAGGGCCACGAGGATAGGAACTCGTGTTGGACGATTGAAAGAGGTTGAGAAATGTGCTATGAACATGGATTTCGCCGGTTCAGGCTGAGCTGCTGTTCACGCTGAGCTTGCTGAAAAGAGTCTTGCTGCTGTTCCAATCGCTGTATCGTAACATGCATCGGCATCAGGCACTGTCGCGGCTCTCCCGCTGGTTGTACAATACAACCATATACCTCGTCGATCCTGTCGCACGATTTTGCAACCTTTCTACTCCTCACGCCACGCTTACCCAGCCAGCTTAGATCAAATGCTTACTCCTGAAGTATGCCCTCAAGTACACAATCTGCCACACACCGAGCGCAACCAGCATTCCCATAGTGCCAATAGCAAACCACTTGACTCGCTCGTTGGTGCTCTCATTGGTATCTCGTAGCTTCATCTCTCGTCCTCGCAAATAATCCAGCTCTTGCACAATCTCGATGGCAACTTCGCTTATCCTTCGCAACTCGGCTTCCACAGGCTTCAGCTTCTCGCCAGCTTGGATGGCAGACCAGTCTTTTGCGTCGGCGCCAATGTCAATGTCGAGCTCGACGTGGCGGGATGGGCTGATGCCGGCGTGTGATGAGAGGATGTTCTCGAAGCAGACGTCGAAGGCGCTGTCGGCGTGAGCAGTGAAGGCTGTGCGCGATTCGCCGGCGACATCGCGAGGGCGGGCGTAGTTGTTTCCTACTGCGTCTTTGATCTGGATAGATAGATAGAGCATTAGTATAGATAGATAGCTGTTGCGCGCCCGAATGAATTCGCGACGTACATGCATATTCAAGACCTGCCCATCGCCCTTGTTGCCGCTAATAGTCGCGGTCACGACGACCAATTGATCTCTGGCGACAAAGTTGCGGATGCATCGTTGAAATGATGCTGCCTCGGGGCCGGGATGGGCTTGGATTTCGAACTTGAGCGCCGAGATAAGCGGTAGGACGAATGCCAGCAGTATTCGCAGAGACATTGTTATTGTTGCCATTGTGCGTGCGATGTGGTGAGCAATGGGAAGAAAAGTGTGCTCTCCTGCTCCTGAATGCTGGTGAACGACACTTGGAAGTCGCGTGCGTTCTCAGGGTCCAATCTTTGGATGCCTCAGGTTTTGCTACAGGAGAGACATCAAAGTCTGGTTCGCAACCTCCTTTTCATTTCACATCCTTCACAACACCTATTGTGTACCATATCGGCCAAGATGGAGGCTAGTTCCTATAAGTACCCGCAGACATGCATGTGATTTGGTTTCCTGACCACCCTCCTCGGACGAGATACCTTACCTTCCCGACGTCTACACAGCTCTGTCTGCTAGTCTATAGCTATGCTCATTGCCTTGGAGAGAGGGCTTCGAAAGCACGCAGCTATTGCGGAGTCGCTAAAGGACACAAAACACCTATAGTCTTTGTGCCGGGCTCTTGGAAGTGGAACCGGAAGACGAGACAAACTTAGACTCCCATAAAAGAAACTCAAGTCGGAATTGCATTGGAAAAGATATCGCTAATCCACAAGAGACAGTCCACCCTCATCATCATCTCTACTCTATGCTCGATTTACTCCGCCTCGCTCGTGAAGTTCGTCTGCGTCAAATTCGTATCACCAGGCAAAATGAAAGGCTTGACCTTGGGCAACCTATTCAAAGTATCCTCCGAAAAGCCCAAATGATCCTTGACAATCTGCTTTGGAGTGAGACCGAGCCATTGTGCGACCGAAATATCGTTATACGCCGGGGCTTGGAGCACCTCTGAACATCAGAAAGTCAGCGCATCATATTCAAACATCACTTCCAGGTGCTCGCAACTCACCAAGGTAGATCAGATCAGTATTTCCAGTATTCTCAAGATAATGAGCTGTAGTCACCGGCACATATCCCGTATCACCAGCCTGGAAATTGAAAGTGCTGGAACTCTGCGGAGCCTGGTATACTGTCAACCGACCTTGTCCAGCGATGATATAATCCCATTCGTCGGAAGTTGTATGCCAATGCAGCTCACGCATGGCTCCTGGCTTAACCGTGAACAGCGCTACGGCAAAGTCCTTCGCGATTGGGAATGTTACAGAGTCCAAGATTTTGACGCTGCCGCCTGGGACGGTATAGGGTTCCTGCTGAGAGAAATGGTAGCTGTAACTCACTTCCTGTGGAATGATGCCGGCCGGACCAGTGACATTCTGCTCAGAGATGTTGGCTGGCGCAGGTGTGCCAGGGAAGATGTAAAGCTGGCCCTCAGGAATATTGTCGAACGCGCTTGTGTCGACTCGAAGGTCTTTGGCGAGCACGGATTTCGGATTTCTTTCAAAGAGCTCGGAGACGAGGAAGGTGTTGTCTTCGCTGAACTCGCCGCTGTCGAAGACGAGAAGGAACTCGCAGCCGTCCCCGTGAGCCTGGATCGAATGCGGGACGCCGGCAGGGAAGAACCACACGTCACCGGCTTGGAGATCATCGGTAAAGGTCTGACCTGCTTCGTTGACGGACGTCACGCGGACAGAGCCATTCAGCATGAGCGACCACTCATTTGCCTGATGCCAGTGAAGTTCTCGGTAGGCATTAGGCTCGAGCATCATGTCAACACCAGCCATCTCAGTGGCGATGGGCAATTGCTCCACATTCTGCTGACGTGCCCAGCCAGCTGCCTCTTTACCATGTCTGTTGTGTGAGAGAGCGAGGGGCCATTTTGCATTAGGAACATCGCCTGAGTCTGTGCCAGGTGGCGCGTAAAGATCCGGATTCTGCTTCTCGAGCTGTCGATTACGTGGACCAGGATCGGTAGGCGAGTTGGTGCCACCTCGGATGGGCTGGGGATTCTCGACTGAGGCGAGGTCCAAGTAAAGACCAAGGTCTGCGTCCTCGGACTGTCCTGCTGCGAGCTGAAATTGGTCTTCGGGGACTGTTGCTGGGAGCGAAGTGTCTACTGGGTTTGCAGGATTGTACCCAATCAAACTCTTTGATCCTCGTTGAGCTCCGCTCGCACCTGGTGGACCAAATGCTGTCGCTGTAGGTACATCAAGTCCAGCCCATGCTGGCGGTGCACCCGTTCCACCTTCTTGTCGCTTTTCACGATGCCAAACGTCTGGTGGTGGCTGTGGTCTTGGTGCCGCGAAACTAAGCGGCACGAGTGTTGCAAAGATCAGATATCGATGAGCCATGCTTGGAAGACTCTGATTGAAAGGTGTGGTAGAGTGATACTGAAGGAGATCTGGGTGCAACTTACCTCCCGCCCCCATCGAGTTTATATCTAATCCGTCGTGTAGACATGCGGGAATGAGGAACTCAATGTCTCCCGCTTTGATGCCATTCCTGGCCCAGCTGAACGTTCCGCAGCAGCCACACGCGTAGGCATTGCAGCATCGCGCGCACGGCACGCGTAGCAGTTTTCGTCCGGCTGCTGCGTCATCATCCACACACGGTCAGCTGGTGCTAACGTCTTGCCACGAGCTTGGAAAAGGAAGGTAACCTGATGTGAGTCTCCAGGATGAGTTGGCTCGCGGTAGTGTCGGGTGCCTGGCGGTCGGCACATTACCGATGTGCGGTTGGAAGTGCCGCCGACTCTGAAACCATATAACATGACGCGAGAGCTGATCGTGCTGAGCCAGCTGTGTTGGACAAGTGATGTTAGGCAAAGACAAGGTTATTGCTAAGCAACCTTAAGCCTGCTGATGGAGGCGACAATTGGTCAGGACTAGAAGAAGCATCAGACTTTGACGTTTGGCAACAAGGCGGATGCCCGTCCTCGTGCATAATAGCGCCGAGTTGACAAAGCCGCGACGTAGATCTGTGATGAGTATTAAGTAATAGCAGCGGATATGTCGGGAGCCCGGAGATCAGAACTGGAGGTAACATGAACAAGTCGGAAGTGGTCTGTAAGCGCGAAGAGCTCCACCAGACACATCTCAATAATGGTTGGAAGAAACGTGCCCAAAATTGTTGCTGTTCCTCGCATGCACCTCTCCATCACTCAAGCCTTTTGTCAAGCCTTTCGAGGCAGGCTAATGCCGCCTAGTAGCAACGATGCTTGTCGACTAATTGCAAAAATGCATTTTGACGTTGGCGTAATGATGAGGTGCGGTCCGGCATATCATCCAGAAATCCCGGTAGATGGTTTGGTCGATCTTGCTGTGTACCTGTCGATAATTGTGCAGGCCAAACATAACACCATCAAAGTTTCAGCTGCATTTAATGCTGGGCTGGCTGGTACAGGCATGTCGTGCATACAGTACACTGCAAATTCCGAGTGACAGGGCTCGATCTACAGAGTGTGAACTGCATGTGGGAAGCCGGTCCGGACCACTTTGCAATCCGTGCTTTTCTCTGGAGCAAAGATATGCACCAAATTTGCTAATTCAAGGAAAGTTGAAGGATTCTTCCGGACAGTAGAGCGGCTTCCGGTATGCAGTTCACACTCTGTACATGTATTTTGTGTAGGTCATCAACCACACCCGAGGGATCCGGAAGAGCCTTGGCAGAAATGCCACTTGCGCCACAGTCGTATTGGTGAAGTTCAGGCAAGAACGTAGTCGTGGTCCAGAGGTGGCTTGAATGGGTTTGCTGCTCGATCTGGCCGGCTCATGATGGATGAAGCGCCTCGTCTTCGCAGGTCATGTCATATTGACTCCTAGCCATTAAAACCTTGGGTGTCCACCCGAGCAACACCGAGCGGCGACATGGCGTCGTCTAGCATGAAGTCTTAAGCAGCACGCCTGGATGGGCCTTGTGGTACCTTCACAACGCGCTGCTTGCCCGTCTGCTTCCGAGTCGTCGACGTGATGGTGGTAGCAGAATGCGTGTCGTCGTCGCTAAGCTCCAGAATCCGGATCTCCTCTGCTGGCTTCTCTGCGATTCGACGGCGCTTCCTGTTACTTGCGCCCTCTGTGGCGTCCTTGATCGCGTCCTGCGCTTCTTGTTCGGACCACTTCTTGAGCACGGCGTCCTCGGCTGTGTTCTCGAGGCTATGGAAGGACGCATGATGATTGCAGCCATCGCAATCAAAGCTGGTCGCGGCCTAATCACGCGGTTAGAATCATGCCAGGGTAGTAACATGCACGAACGCCTTACCTTGACGGGATGCAACATGAATCTCAAGCATGGACAGGACGATAGAATCGATGTTTTGAAATTGCAGCGACCTCGTGGCGGTTTGTATTCCATTGCACTCCAGACGGAGTTACTTGGCGCCTGGTTCGCCATATCTTGCTGCAGAAGGAGCATGCAGCTGAGACCTGGTAATGATCGTCTTGTGTTGTTACATTTGTTGTTGATGCAAGTGAAGCGTGGGTGTCGGCGTTGGCGCCTTCGACCAGGAACAGGGAAGGCGCGGTCGAGGCGCTGTTCCACGTGACCTGATCAACAGGTTTTATTTATTTATTTATTGTTTATTTCACTTCACTTGACTTTTGCGTGGCCAACGCATCCAGCGGTAAAAGGAACAGCCTGGATACGCTCCGGAGAGACCTGGCCGTTGAGCGCGAGTTGAATCTGTTGCATTGCTTCGAGAAGATGCATTGAATCCATCGAACAGGCCAACAGACAGGCACCTCCATAGGAATTATTTGGGAGAGGAGGTAAGTCTTGTGTGTGCCCATGTCCTGATCTGCATCTTTCCGATGCGAGTCGTCTCAATCTCACAACCCCACAAATCGGCTCGCACGTGATCATTCGAGCTCCATGTCTCAGCTTTTTCCCGACAACTTCTGACGTTACTCCTCACCGACACGTCGGCCCTCGTCGCGACCATGAAGGTCCTTGACGCAGGCGACCACCCTCTCTCCAACGCCGACGTCCTCGACTGGGTCCAACGCAAACGTGCCCAGCACGCCGCCGAAGACGCCGAAGACAAATTCAAAGCAAAGTCCAAAAAGGACTTCGTCCCAGCTCAGCGCCCCAAGAACTTCATGCGCATGCTCGACCGCACCGAACGCGAGCTCGCCTCAGAAAAATACCCCTACACCAAAAACCCTTCAGCGTATTCAGGCGACGCCCGTAAATCCGCATTCCAAGCTTTCGTGCTTGAAGCAGAAAATGTTATCCAAGATGCTCTCCAGGACGAATGGAGGGAGAAATTACAAGGCATGTCGCGAGAACAGATCGATAAGGAGTTTGAGCCGGTACAGGAAATGAAGTGTTTAACCGAGCCGGAAATGCTCATGCTGTATAATCATGCGCCGCAGTGTGTGGAGATGCTGCAGCCTATGATTGAGAATTGTGAGGAGAGGTTTACGGCAGAGGAACAGCAGATGCTGGTTGATGTTGTGGTCAGGGTTTTGAGACCCGATGAGGTGCCAAGTGAGGGTTAGGAACTTCCTTTGCATCCTCGTGGGGACCATGGTACCAAAAAGAGAACTGATTCTATGGAAATGGATAGGTTTTTCGAGGGAGTGAGAGGGCTGGGGAGGAAGAGAATTCAGCAGGAGGCTGACGCTTGGGGAATGAGCGCCGAGAACTGATCCAGAAATCTCGTCAAGCATTAGAGACACGTTTTGTCGGTGTCGGTGTCTTGTACTGGATACCGACGAAGCAAGCCTAAACCTGTCCACTGACCAGCAAGGGTCGAGAGGAAGAGTCATGGGACGGGAAAGTGTCCCTCTACTGAGGCCTTGGGTTCATGAATGAGATGAGTGACGCGTCGGTAACAAGCCGTTGACGCTGTGATTGCCTCGCAAATGAAGGTGGGTATAGCGAAATATGGACACGACTCCGCCGACAGACTGCGTCCACCAACCTATCATCCATCCCACCAAAGATCAACATTACAGAGTCTTATCTCTTACATTATAGGTATGCTTTATCTTGTCTGACACTTCACAGGACTGCCGTTTTGCTAACATTCAATCATTTGGAGAAGAGAAAACTCCGTCGCCGATGCATCTATGCTTCAATGCTTTCGTTCGTCCGTCTATTGCTTCTTGGTGGAAGCACTCGGAAACATGTTTTCGTACGCAGCCTGCGACAACAAGAGACGCATCAGCAGAGTTCTTCCTCACTTAAGAAATTCCTTCTGGACTACCTTCGTTCTCGTGTCGCCGAGCCGGAACATGCCCAACGGCACCCAGACGGGGAAGGATCTCAGCCACACGGCAATGCCCAAGTTGCCTGCGATGACGATTTGCTTGCCCTTGCAGCTCAAGATCTGCTTGACAACTGCATCTGCGACACTCTCTGCTGTGATCACCTTTGCGCCGCCTGCCTCGAGCTGTGCTTTGAACGGTGCGACCATGGGTGTTGCGGCGAATGATGGGTGGACAACTGAGAACTTCACTTCGGGGGCGTCGAGGAAGACGCGAGCTTCCTGAATCAGTCCTTCGTGGAAGCCGAGTGCGGCAACCTTGGTGTTGCTGTATGGCACGAGGCCTGGGGTAGTTGCGAAGGAGGCCATAGATGCGATGGTGACGACATGGCCCTTCTTCTTCTTCGCCATGGCTGGGAGGAACTCTTGCACTGTGTAGTAATGCGAAATGATGTTGATGCCGAATACTCTCTTTAGCGCCTCCTCGGACTGCTCCAGAATCGGACCCTCGCTCGAGATACCTGCATTGTTCACCAGTATCGTAGGGTCGCCGAACCGTTGTCTGATCTGGTTCGCAACATGTGCGACTTGTGCGCGGTCTGTGACATCGCACTTGAAATAGTGAATCTTTGGATAGGCTCGGAACGTCGGATTCGGCTCGTCTTGGATGTCCAGAGCCATAATGTTGACGCCTCTCCGCGCAAGATCCTTAGACATCAGACTTCCAAACCCGCCATTTGCACCTGTAATGACGGCAACTTCGGTGGGCCAGTTGTATCGATGTCTCTCCGATCGAAGTCGAAAGTTGTTCTGAGCGAGTTCTGATAGTCTCCTGTTGAGATCCTTGACCACACCGATCGCTACCAGCCACTTCAGCGCCGTGATTATTCTCCCGACGTTGTCGGCCGAAACATATTGCTCGAGCTGCGCGACGAGCGGCTTTCGAAAACGATCCGGAGCGGCAGTCAGAGCGAAGAGCAGTGCGCCTGTGATGGCTGGGGTGAGGAGTCTGCCGGCCATCCCGGGGGCAGTTGTGCTGTGAAAGGGAAACGGACGGTGATGCTGAGGAAGGGCAGCAGCAGCAGCAGCAGCAGCAGCAGCAGATGGGATGCGAGACAACAATAATAAAATAGCCCTTTCTTGCTTGCCTCGGGAGATACTGCTTGTTCTTATGCATGGCAAATTCCAGGCAGGCTTGACTTCATGTGGAACACAGTGGAAGGCTGCGCGCTGACATCAATCAGCCTCCCGCAAGCAGCCCGTTGTCGCATTGCGGGGAGCGTCGCGCTGGTATTGGCTGGTATGCAGATGCCTCGGTGCTTCGGGCGCTGGCAGCCAGATTGCCTCGAGAATGATTAATGATTCTGGTGATGTTGTTGCCCAGGACGTCGAAGGTTCAGCGAAGCTGCGATCGGACGCTCCTGTTCGCACGCTCGCACATGGAGCCCGCCCAGCCCGCCCCACCCTCGCACCGCACCGCGCTGAACATCCATGGTCGTTTGCCGTGCCGACTTGCGACTGGCCACACTTCGGCAGCCTTTGCCCTGATCTGTGCTGGTCGGCAGAAGATCCATGGGCATTCTCCTCCAGCCGGCCGGGATAGTGATGAATGCATTATTTGCATGTGCCAGGCCCCTTCGTACCTTAACCCAACCCACACAACTGCTCGTTAAGGATTATACAGCAGCGCATATACGACGCATACCATCGAATGGTCTTCTTCAAGGCTGCCTCGGCGCGACTGTTCGAAACATCCACCCTGACCCCGTTTCTCTATCCGTGCTTCAACACGCCCTGCGCCGCCACCGCTGCCATCACGAACCGATCCAAAGCACGCGTGCGGCGTCCGACATGTACTAGGAGCATCAGGCGCGCACAGAGTACTGCTTCTGCTGCTGCCCATGCACCCACAACCGACCCCGACGCTGTAGACGTGCACAAGTACGACCATCTCGACCCCTCACCGGCCGACTATTCATCCACACCCTTCACAGATGCATGTGCATTGAGGGTGACTGCGGGTGCTGGTGGCCACGGCTGCATCTCCTTCTTGCGCGAGAAGTACATTGCCAACGGCCCACCGAATGGTGGCGATGGCGGTACGGGCGGCAGCGTGTACATACAGGCTGTTCAAGGAGAGACAAGCCTGCACAAGCTCGCGCGGAGAAGTCATTTGAAGGCGGGAAGGGGCAAGAATGGCCAGGGCAGTCTGAAGGGAGGTGCGAGGGGCGAAGATCTTCTAATCACAGTTCCTGTAGGGACTGTCGTCCGAGAAGTAAGACGTCATGATCCGCTCGATGAGGAAGAGAGGGCGTACGGGCTGCACAGAAGATTTGCTGAAGGAGCAGAGGATGGAGAACACACACCTGAACAGGGACTATGGCAGCTTGATAAGTGGCTGCTGTATCCCGGTGTGATGCCAAAGCACTTCACTTCAGCAGATCTTCCTCGTCTGCCAAGACCGAGACGAAGCAATCTGGTGTCAATGCAGCCACCAGCCCCTCTGCGGCTGGATCTAGACAAGGCAATGGACACGCCCATGCTTCTAGCAGCAGGGGCGATGGGTGGTCTCGGCAATCCTCATTTCGTGAGCAAGTCAGTCCTGAAACCCAAGTATGCCACCAAAGGTCATGATGGCGTGCGCATTGATGTCCAGCTAGAATTGAAGCTGCTTGCAGATGTGGGCCTTGTAGGACTCCCAAATGCTGGTAAGTCAACTCTTCTGCGGGCTCTGACCAGATCGAGGACAAGAGTGGGCAATTGGGCATTTACGACCTTGAGCCCAAACATCGGCACTCTGGTGCTGGACGATTACACTGGGCGACCAAGACTGGACACGAGAGGACGGCGGAAAGAGCCGAGGACGAATATCACAATCGCAGACATTCCCGGTCTGATCGAAGGCGCACACCTCGATCGTGGGCTAGGACTAGGATTTCTTCGCCACATTGAGCGCGCCGCTGTGCTTGCCTTCGTCCTCGATCTCAGCGCACGAGATGCAGTCGAGGCTCTCAAAGGTCTCTGGAATGAAGTCGGCGAATACGAAAATCTGCGCGAGAAACAGCTGAATGCAGACACTGAGCGCACACAACCACAAGAGGCAGGTCTGGAGACAACGGAGGCATACAAGCCATTCGAAAGTTCTATATCTCCCGGACTTGATCCCGAGTCAGATCTTGAGGAAGGGAGCACGATTGTCCTCGATCCCGCAGTAGGTCGCGCGCTACCACCGCTACTTTTGCCACCCATTAGTAGCAAGCCTTGGTTCGTGATTGCAACCAAAGCCGATCTGCCAGAAACACAAGAGAATTTTGGGCGGCTGCAGGCATATTTGAAGCGCGTACAAGCTGGGGAAGAGGAGCATCCCAGCGGGAAGGAGAATGCTTGGCGTAGAGCTGTACACTCTGTGCCCGTTTCTGCGATCAATAAGCAGGGTGTCGCACCTATTCCAGAGATCATTATCGGTCTTCTGGATGACTAGGATGACGTGAAACGGGACGACGTGGAAAGACGCACGTGAGATCTGACTATGGACGCAAAGTCCTGCGCGCAACAGAGGAATCTCAATCTGTAGATGGGCCAAGCGAAACCGTCAAGGCCGGTCCATAATTTCCTGCAGATACACAACTTTGTTCTGTAGCCGGCCAAGCTCAGAATAGTGGATCTCTTCACCTGTGCTGAATTTACATGTTAGCAAAGGATCTGGATTGTTACAACGTGCGCAGCAAGCACCCTCGAAGCCCGGCGACATTCAAAATCCACCATCTGAAAGGTCAGGCAAGTGGTTGAGGGCTTTGAAGCACGTCTGTTGTCGGAATTCTTGCCGTGTTCCTGAATCCGCCGATGTCGTTGTCATTGCGTAAGCGGGTGTAATGGTCAGCACCTTGATGGGAGACCAGCGGTCTGACTTCAGCATTATTCGGCTTGTTCTTGTTCATGATCTATCCTCACTACATCAACCCTCGTTCTCCATAAAATTAAGCCCTACCCGCGGCTCTAATACGGTGTCTTGAATGATTCACTCAATGCATCTTCCTACATCTTCCCACCATTCTTCTCATTCACAAGTGTGATACGATACCGCGCCTTACCCTCTTCAAAGTCCACAATCGCCTTATTCGCATCCTTCATAGGATACTTATTGATCCATGGCTTGATCTTATGGTCTGCCGCGAGCTTCAACATCTCGTCAATCTCTGCGGGACTACCAATGGAGGAACCACCAAACTTAATACCCTTGCCGATGAATGCGAAAGCGTTCATTACAGGCAGCTTGTCTTCTGGAGCACCGACTTGGATGAATTCGCCCTTGGTCCGTAGCAGGCGGAAGTACCGCGAGAGTGGCATGTTCGGCGAGCTGACCGTGCAGACAATCAGATCGAGGGTCCGGGAATGCTTCTTGAACCAGTCCTTGTCGTCGTCTGTTGCAATGTACTCGTCTGCGCCGAGCTTGAGGACATCTTCACGCTTGTTGTTGCGACGAGAGATTCCCACGACTTTATCGGCACCTAGTGCTTTTGCGAACAAAACACCAAAGTGTCCTAGGCCCCCAACGCCAACGATTCCAACCTTCTTGCCTGGACCGCATCCTCCCTGTTTCAGTGGGCTGTATACCGTCACACCTCCACACAACATCGGTGCCGCCTCTTCACTGGGCAAGCCATCTGGAATCTTCACGACAAAATGACTCGGGCATCTGTGATAGTCCGCATAGCCACCATAGCTTTCCGTTCCATCACGATATTTGTCCGCGAACGTGTTCACGCTATGTTGACAGTATGGCTCCAGTCCAGCCGAGCACTCTTCACAATCCGGCTTTAAGCACGACCAGTTCTGAGCTCCCACGCCAACTCTGTCTCCTACTTTTATGCCCTTTTCTGCTTTGCTGCCAACACGCACTGCCTTTCCAACGATCTCGTGGCCGACGCAGACGGGGTACGGGGTAGGGCCCCAGCCGGAACGGAGGGTGTGGATATCACTGTTGGGCGAGAACAGGTCAGCCAACAAGGCTTCGAGAGAAAAGATACCATGGTCTTGCCCGCCTACCTGCCACAAATCCCACAATGCGTGATCTCAATGTCAATATCCGTCTCCTCCCAATTCTTGGGATTGGGGAATTTCTGCCACACCATCTTACCCTCGGCAGAGGACTTGTCCAAGCCCATCCATCCTTCGAAGCTGTAGTCTTGAGGTTGCTTCGCGTTCACCATGGTGAGAGTATGATCAAGGAAACTCTGAGAAGGATTGATGAAATTTTGAATACTTGTCCAAAGAGATGGATGTTTTCTAATGGTCAAATTACGCAGACGACTAGGAAAGCTGTGGTGGCTATCTTCACTAAGTCCGTTACTATCCCCGGTAAATATTACTTTGGCCTCGGTAAATGGCGATTTGATATCCTGTGGGTGAAGTGACCCGAATGCGGCGATGCGGCGGCGGCGACAAGGATGATGTCAGGTGCGGGCCAGGTGGAACTCGATTTCTTGGCGGGCAATGGCTTCGACTTCACGCGTTACCAACGTGCACTCGAATCTTGAGACGTGTCGACTGCAGTCCTTGCTTGGATCTGCCGCCTTGTATTCTGGACATTCACGGAGAAAACGGGATGGCATTCAACGACTCCGAGACGGCAGTAGGAATTCATCTGGCTTGCCAATGCGTTCACTTCACTGCCTTGCGTACCTTTCCCGCCGTGGAATTAGGACTACGGTTTGAAGGGCAGCTGAAGTCGACCACCTTTGATATGCCCATTGCCCTCCATCTAAGCAATCAGCTTCACAACCAGTAAGGCCAAAAGAATCATGAGTGCCAGCAAGCAGAGCAGGATCGAGAGCGTGAATGTAGCCGCCATACAGACCACGAGAACGCGGTGCTTCTCGAGCATCCCACTCAGCCATGGTCGCCAAGGGATGTCGAAAGGCTGAGTCTCGTGCACCAGCTCTGGAGCTTGTGCACCGAAGGCAAGGCTTGGTATTCGTATTCCCCAAGCTTTTCCCGCATCTGAGCCAGCCACTGACTGATTACCCCAGCCACCTCTGTCACATTCCTCGTCTTCGCGATTCCCATCGCCATCGACAATGCTGGGAACAAGCCTTTTCCACCCCGAAGCTGACTCATCCTCTTCGTCGAACTTCTCGATCTTGCTCTCGATCTGCTTGTCGATGTAATTCTGCAGTGCAGCGAAGTTCTCCGCTAGTGTATCGTGCTCGGGTTGAGTCTTGGCCAGCTGACTGGGTCTAGGCATCAGCACGACCGTCTTGAGGCTTCTGGTTCTGGAAAACACTCTCAGGTCACTGATTCGACTGAAGTCCTGGTCGGAATACTTGTGCAGGCACGGAATGCGGTCGTGAAAGCAGCGGAAGATGTTCTCCGACACGTCGAGGTGAAGTGTTTCGAGCCGCTGGAAATCGTTCAGCCCTTGGAACAATGTCGAGCCCACATAGCTCCCGGGCCAGACGTCGTAGTCTAAGTCTCTAGGCTGGCCGATCAGTGCAGCGCGAGTCCATTTGATGTTGAGCGTCTTGAGGTTCTGCCAGATCGCTCGAGACTCATCGATCGAGACATTGAGAAAGCTGCGGTCAAGGACGAGCTTCCGGAAGTACTCCTCGACGGCTTCTTCGTAAAATTGCTTGTTAACCAGGAGTTCAGGGAGGAATGGTTTCATTAGCTGGTCAGCGGACATGAAGGGACCCTGGAGAGCACATGATTAGTGTTAAATACAAAGCTCGCGATGGGAAACGTACTGGGTGGTTTGGTTGACCCCATACTCTTCCGTCTCTGCGATCCCATTCACTGCCGACGACTCCGGAGAGCGTATTGATCTTCGCTATGCCGGTGCGATCTGGAGCGTATGCGAGCCGGTAGATCTCATTGCGAATCTCCTTCGGAAGTCTGTCGAAGAATCGCGAGCCTGTCGCATTCTCCGGAACCGTGATGGTCTGAGTGCCGCGCTCTGGCATGATGTCGGTCCTCCTTTTCTGGTAACCTTGAGTGTTGATGTTGATGCGAAGTAGTGAAGCAAGCGGAAGATTTGCTTTTGTAGTGTTAGCTGTTCAGTTGGATGTAAGTGAGCGAGCACGGACCATGCGGACTTCTCCACAAAGTTAAGCACAAGTGAGGTTGCTATTGCTCTATTGCCAGTCAGCAACCGCTCCGGACGCTTCAATCGCAAACGAGAAGATGCATGTTGAGATCCAACGATATCATTCGATAGAACATCTGTTTCATTCGACCGACGAATCTAGTTACTTCCATCATTTTGCACTGGTACAGTTAATCCCATGGAGAAGACTCTCATCAACGTTGCCGCAAGTGAAGAGATTGGCAGTGCCATTCGGACTCACAACATGGATCTCATTCAACTCGATATTGCCACAGACATCCGGACTCGAGCAAACCACATATCCCGAAATCGGCGAATACTTGCTGCTAGTCGAGCCGTGAAGATTCTTGATCGTGATTCCGTCAATCGTCAATTTCGAAGGGAACTCATTGCAAAGCGTCAGATTTTTCTGTCCATAACACTGCGTCACTTCGACCGCATAATCGACATTGTCGATCAGCATATCTTGATATGCGATGTTCGAAACGCGTCCGGTGCCGCCACCACCTTGAAGGTCTTCGGACAGTGCTGATGCAGAGCCTGGCCAGACCTTGATCCGAGCGCCGTCCGACGCGTTGTACATGGAGATGTTGTAGACCTGGATCGTCAGCTTGACTCCCCCTGGATTTCAATGAGCACAACTCACATAGACATTCTCCACGATGTCGACCTCTCCAACATATTGACCAAGACTGCCAACACTGATCCCATGGCTACCATTGCAGTGCAGATTTTGAACGAGAATCTCGGTGCTATTCGGCTTGAAAGATACGCAATCATCACCATTATTGATGATCGAGTTCTGAATCACCACGTTCTCACTTCGGTAAGTATCCCAGCCATCGGTGTTCTTAGCCACGTTCTTGCTTGCACTATACCCAGTAATATCGATCCTGTCAAAGACCACATCGCTACTATTCGCCACGAGATTATACCATTGCGGCGAATACCTCAGCCGGAGATTCGATATGCTGCCAGTATGGAGACCAATTGTTCCGAAGAGGATGGGTCTCAAGATCAGTGCGTCTGAGGCGTAGAGGTCGTACCAAACCTGTCCATTTCCATCGAGCAGACCTCCGCCGTAGACATTGACATCGTTACCACCCAGCTGGAAGAATGTTGTGGCGTTTTGGAACGTTTGCTTGAAAGCGTGGGCTTGCCAGTAATCGGTGTCGTTTGTGAATTGGATGTATGCTTGGATGTCCAGATCAATGCAATCGAGGAAGGTGAGGTCCAACGCCTTTCCGATCACGTAGGTCTGGCCTTGTGGGAAGACGACATGTCCGCCATTATTGCAGTCTTGGATTGCAGAAAGGATGTACTCCGAGTCGTCGGTCTTGAAGTCATTATGAGACTGGACGTAGCAAGTCTTTTTGCGAGGCGATGAAGCTGGGAATGTCTTCCATGAGCCAATCGGCGAGAAAGTTATGCTTGGTCTCGAGCTTGGATGTCTGCTGATTGAATTTGGCAGAGTCGACCGATATTCTTCATATGCAGTCCACGTGGCTGATGCTTGTAAAGCAAGTCCAGCTAGGACCAGATAGTTCTGCATTGGAGACATCGGCCTCGTCAAGCGGAACTTTCGTGGCATTGCAGCTACTTTATCCCAAGCACGGAAATGTGTTCGGTTAACATGGTTCATGCAGCTTGATGTATTAATATCATCATGTCAAGGTTCTCCACAAGGATTAGGCGAGCCTCCTTCCCTGTGAAGCTTAGCGGCGAACGAATTCCACCTGAAGTGAATGATCATTGGTGGAGGACCTTGGGGGCGCCAGGAATGCTCGGTGCAGCACTGTTTCACTTTACACGTTGTCAAACGTGGGTTCAATCCGGCTCCATCACTCTGGGTGCCGATACTTGAACATTTTGAATGGTGTATTAAAGACCAAAGAAAGAACTGCATTGCTCTTGCAACATCCATGCAAGCGTTCGCTTTATAAGCATTCGCCATGTTCCAAAGAATGGGATGCGAGAGATCATATTAAATGAGCGTGTTACGGCACTATCTCACAATCTTGATTGAATCTTCTCTGGAATGTCCGCCAAAGCATACTGCACAGCGTACTTCTTGCTCCGCACTTTCTCGGCTTCTTGCATGCTCGGTGTCTTCGCGGCAGTAGCTGGGTTGTATTTCCAGTTCGTACCCTTGATAGCATCTTGATCAGACAATTTCTTGTTCCACTTTCCATCAGCCCGCTTGTAGACATTGACGACGACACATCCACCAAGACCGAGGTTGTGCTGTAAGGCCACGTTTGCATCAACATGCCTTGTGTTGGCCCAGCCTCGCAGTTGCCAGGTCAATTCAGCGCACTGTGCAAGACCTGTAGCGCCGAGGGGATGGCCTTTAGATATTAGTCCGCCGGACGGGTTGATGATAGGACCTTTACCACCGAATGTGATATCTCCGTTCCGGACCATCTCGTGTGCTTTGCCCTGCTCGCAGAAACCTAGCCCTTCAAGCAGAATCAGCTCGTTTGCTGAAAAGCAGTCGTGAAGCTCGCAGACTTTGATGTCCTTAGCGGTCACACCAGCTTCCTTGTATGCAAGCTGGACAGCATTCTTAGTCATACCAAATCCGCACAGGTCCATCGCAGATTTCGAGTAGAGTGAGGGCGGATCAGTCTGAAGTTGCTGACCAGCCATCAAGATTGCCTGGTTCCAAAGATGAGGTTTCTTCTCCTTGAGGAAGCGTTCCGAGACAATGATTGCTGAGCCAGAGCCATCTGAGGTTGGGCTGCATTGCAGCTTTGTGAGTGGGTAATGGATCATAGTAGAGTCGGCAATCTCCTTAAGGGTGTACTCCTTTTGGAACTGAGCATATGGATTCCTGGTTGAGTGTGCGTGGCTGATGCGACCAATTTCTGCGAAGTCCTCTGCCTTAGCACCGTACCTGATGCTTGGATTAGCTGCGTGAAGGATGTTTGAATGCATGGGACGTACTTCTCCATATACTCCCGACCCGCATTCGCAAAGTACTGAGCGGTGCGCGGGCTCTCGTGCCTTCCAAAGATCTCTTCCATGAGTCTGGTCGGTTGCTCCATAGGACTTGGTCGATCGCTCCAGCCGGATTTGATTGAGCCAGGTTGCATCTGCTCGAAGCCAACAACCATGATACAGTCTGCCGCACCTGCTCGAACGAGCGTTCTTGCCATGTGCAGACCTGTGGAACCAGTAGCACAGGCATTGTTGGTGTTGTATATTGGAATGCCAGTCATGCCGAACTGGTAGAATACCCTTTGCCCGGAGCAAGTGTCGCCGTAACAGTAACAAGCGACGCCCAGTTCAACATCATCGTATGTGATCTGAGCATCAATCATGGCCTTGGTACCAGCCTCAAAACCGAGTTCTACATAACTGCGAGTCTGTCTTGGCTTGATACTAGTGGCGATCAGTATACCTATGCTGTCAAGTGTAGACATTGCCCTTACAATTCGGTCAGGCCAACGCCGAGCACGTATGCGTTCTGCTGCGGTTTCTTGATCTCCATGATTGCGGTGATGTGTATACGTGTGTGATGCTCGACGGGCCAGCAGGAGTTGTACTTGCACTGATGTCGTCCAGCTTGACATGTCCATCGGAAATAGCTCGGTTATGCTGGTCCCCGCAATGTCCACGTGGTGATGACCGAGGCAGTGAGTGAAGTGAAGGAATCGTGTGACGACCACCGCGACGCGTACTTGCAGCTCCGAAAAACAGTTCATCATCATGACCAGACATCATGTCGGCCTCAGTGTTCAATTATCCACATCTTTATCTCGCCAGGGGTCCTCCGGATGCTGAGCACTAGCCAGATGCGAGCCGGGCCCTTCTCTCGCGGCCTGAAGCGATCCCTTCCAAGCCTCTTCCATTGTCGTCTTCTTCGTGTGGGATGAAAGACGGCGTGTTTCTCTGCAGAAGCGTGAAGCGGATTGCGTCGTCAGAGTGAGCCAGCCAAAGCCGTCGCTTGTCGGCCTGCAGAGACCAAAAGATTGATCCCGTCGAGCGTCGAGGCCCTCCGCACGGTCAAGAGACGCTACAGGCACGAAAGAGATGGAACGATGCATACGCTGGATCAAGGGCGTTGGTCTGAGGCTTTGACGATGCCCGCATGCATGCGTCGCTCAGGCCGTTGAGCATTGCAGCATGGAGGTGAAGCGCACAAAACCTACGAAATAGCGAAGCTCAAGGGTGGGATAGACAGATATGGGCGGAGGACTAGGAGTCCATTTCATCACCTTGTTCCCATTTTGTACGGCTCATGGAAGAAGTCTTCGTGACTGTAATCTCAAGGGGTCTCCTGACCGCAGAGCCCTTGCCAACCCTGAGGACTTGATGCTACCAAGCAAGATTCGAGTGACATGAAGTCGCTCACCTGCAAGGCTCTCACTCTCTGATGGCTCTTCGGCTGCCTTGGAAGTGTTTTGATGTAGTAGATGATGTTCTCATTCAGGTATAGAAACGAAGCTCAGTAAGTAGATGTGCTGTACACTTAGCCTCTTGCTCTTTCCTTGTAACACTAGTATTCCAGTAAAAGCCCTCGAAATTGGAGGTCAATGACACAGCAACCACTACAAATCAGAGTCAAAATCTCAAGAAAAGGAGAAAGAGTGAGAGTTGGAAGATATCACAACCTGTCCCCTCAAGTTTTCAAGATTCCATAACAACCTCGAAATCAGACGTCGGCAGAGTCGACATCAAAATGCAAGTCAAAAAAGTGAAGGAAACACACATGTCAGGACCTCTCGTCTCAACGCCTTAGAGTTCCATAGGGATCTTGAGGATGGGCATCAATTGCACAGCACTCTCTTCAAGCCATAGTCGATGTCTAGCTTGAAAAGAGAAGAAAGGTGAGAAAAGAACCATGTCAAGACCTGTCTACTCAGCTTCTTACCATTGCATAACGGCGTCGAGACCAGAAATCAGTTGCACAGCATCTATCACGAATCAGACTCAACATCAAAATACAGCAGAGAAAGGTGAGACGACACACATCACGCCCAAAGTCCAAAAATCGATTCACAACTCCATACATAAACGCCAAGTTCATAAGCCAAAACCTTACCCGCCACCTCTCACCCACCATCTCTCACCCAACCACAACTCACTCCTCTCCACTCTTCTTGCCCTTCGCCGCCGCGAACACCATACCTCGGCTCATGATGGGGCCGGCGAGGTCCCCACCATCGCCACTCTCCTCACCACTCTCCTCCTCTCTCATCCGCAGCCTCGCTCGCAGTGCCGCACGCCCACCACCGGGAACTGGCGGGGGCGGCGGGACGTAGAGCGGCAAGGAGTCACCTGGCCGCACCAAGCGAGGCAGCGGCTTCTCCTCTCTCAGCCTGAGCAGCTCACGAGCTGCAGCCTCATCTCTCTCACGCTCGAGAGCGAAAGGGTCGACAAACGGCTCTGGAGCCGGAGGCAGGCGCGCAGCAGGCTTCTTGAGCGAGAGCTTGATTGGCGGTCGTGACCGCGGCGAGACAGCGGGAGAGGGAGGCGAGACCTTGAGGATCAGGCGTCGGCGCTTGGGAGTGGTGGCGGCGGCGGCAGCAGGAGCTCCATCGTCTTGAGAAGCTTTGCGCTTCTTGGAGTTGGCGTCGGTGCCGTAGACCGCACCGTCCAGCAGAGCGGTCCAGCGTTCGTAGTTCGTCGCTGGGTCGGTCGTGACCTCGCCAGGCTGCGGCTCGTTGATGAGGAACTCGACTGGAGGCATCACAGTCATTGCGCCGGAGGAGAATTCTTGCTCGATCCATGGGAAGATGGTATCGAGGATGAAGTCGGTGGCTCTGCCTTGGCCGGAGAAGTTGGAGTCGATGTGCTCTGCATGATCTGGCTTGACGCCGTCTGCGAGGGCAAGGGCGAGAGGCTTGGAGGACTTGCCGGCCTTGGCTGGGACGGCGATCTGGTTGGTGGCGTCTTGAATGTCGTTGCCATTACGGCGGAGAATGCTGTGGTAGCGGTCGAGACGCGTCTTGGCTGGTTTGGAGAGCTGGATGGTGAAGGTGGCCTCGGGTCGCCAGAGCTTGATGCGAATGAGCTGATCACGCAGGTGTGTCATGTAGAAAGTCTTCTGATCAATGGCGGAGCCCTTGTCGGCGGCATACTTGGCGCGTTGGTAGCCTTTGCGGCACTGCCAGTGCCAGACGTCGTCGTCGATGGCCTTGGTGGCGTTCTTGTTGCGTCCAAAGAAGTCTGAGACAACTTTTCTGCCGACTTCGTTGCGGTTCTGGTAAGTCTGGCCGCTGTTGCAAAGGCGGTCGCTGCACTTCCATGGGATGACGGTGGTAGAAGTCTTGGTCTGCTTGGTGACGGCGGACATCTTGACTGCTGGATGTAGAGGACTGACTGTAAAGAGACTGATGACTGGCTGTAGGGTTGGAACTGGTAGAGAGCAGCACCGCTAGGCGTGTACTGTAGTAGAGAGGAGGAAATGTGCTGGCGGCAAGACCTGCTTGCTGCGTTGTGGTGATGAGAGAGCTGAGTGCTGTGATCAGACTCGTGATGGGTACTTAGTCTTGTGTGCTGTGCTTGTCGCTGTTCAGTGCTGTTGTGTGTCGAAAGCGTGGTGCCAAAGGCTTGCTGGTGTGTGTTTGGTAGAGTGTCGTGTGTCTTGAGTGCTTCTGGCTTGCTTTCGTGTGTGTGTCTGACTGAAGAAGAAACAGGAAGAAGGAAGAGATTGACCAGATACTTAAAGGATGCCCATCGAGCTCGTCCTATTGTCAGACGACCTACAATTGTCACTTGCACCGGCTACAACAGGAACAATTAGGAAGTAGCTTTCGTGAATAGCTGCTATTGTCGGTCACGCGTCATCTAGATAATGTCGAAACAGCGCACCGGCTACAATAGGAACAATTGGGAAGTAGCCCTCGTGAATAGCTGCTGTGGTCGGTCACGCGTCATCTGGATGATGTCGAAACAGCGCATTCACCGGCGAAGGCGAAGCTGCTGCGTGAACAGATGACAACCAGAAGGTGGCCAATGGAGACGCGTATGCCATATTACAGCAAGCGCTGAGTACGCGGGTGAGGCGCAATTCTGTCCATCGTCGCCGCGCTCACCAACAGAATCGTGAATGATGTCGCAAGGAACTTGATATTTTCAACGGCGTCCGTGCACGAGAAGAGTTGAAGCTTGAGCCCCAGCCACTGGAGTTTCCGTGCTTCACTTCACTCGAGCAAATGCACAATTGTGCAGGGGGCTATTGTCGGGGAGCGGTCGTGAAATGCCGTGGCGCTGTGAGGAGGCTCGCTGAAGTGTCGGGCAGCAATGGCTACACTGAAGGGCGCCGCGAGCAGGAGCCGCTTACAGTATCGTGTGCCCAGTGCAGGACAGCTCGAATGTGTATGGGCTGAAGTTCGCGCAGAAGCGTCGGCAAAGGTTGTCGCGGTTGCCACGAAGGCATGAGAAGCAAAGTATGTCCAATTCATGCTACGATCATAAACACAAGAAGATACTAATGCTGTGCTGTGCTGTGCTGTGGCCACCGTCGCAATGCTGCTAATGCTCGCTGGGTATCGCAACCCCTCTCCGTTTTGCTCACCATAGAAACGCCATCGCTAATTCCAATTATGCCATTCACGTATTGCTGCGAGAAATTGAAACTTATTTCTCATGGTACTGCGGTCATCCAAAGGCCTGGTCAATCCAGTTCTTCGGCTTGCGCATATGCGTCATGAGTTGTCGCACGGAATCCGGTGTCTTGGTGTTCTCCCTATCAACGGGACTTCTCGTCCCTTCAGCTTCATCATCTTGGCCGCTGTCGTAGATTTCATCGCCGTCTAGACCTGCTAGTCAGCCTGCGCGCTTCCGTGGTCGTCTCCGAGAGGCTGCACACTCGTAGACTGTAATCGAGACTGGAACTCGGACTGGATGGGGCTATGCTCACTGATAGAGTCAAGCGCAACTGGTTCGACGATCTGCACGCTACGCCGACCGCCAGCACGTGCGCCTGTTGTGGGAGATATCAGTTGCTCTAGAGTATCCTCATCTTCCGCGGCAGCTTCGGCGACACCATCAAGATTGGTGGCGCGGGCTTTGCCTTTGGAGGTTGCGGACTTGGTGATCTGGGACGAAGAGCTTTGCTCTTCGGGTGCAAGCACGAAGCGATCGGGTTCTGTATCTCCCTCGATGCTGCTTTCCTTGCCTTTCGAGCTTCGAGTCTTCTTCGAAGAGTTATCAAACCACCAAAAGCTGCTCTTCTTGCTCGTCGACTGAGAATCGCTCTCTTTAGCGGTCACGAACTCAGTATCTGTGTCTTTACTTTCCCCATTGCCATTTGATAAAGTTGGCATGCCTGCGCTAGCGGTTTGCTTGTTCTTGAAGCTTGGCTCGATATGTTCCTCCTCACGATTTGACGCCATCGCGGAGCCACCCACACCGCGAATATCTGACCAGTACTCCAGCTTCTTTACTTGCTCTTCTGCCACATGAATCGCCTTGTGCAAGTTACTAGCATGTCGCGCCTTGCGATCGTGTTCTTGTTGAAGCTGCAAATCATTGCCGTGCTCGTGGTTGGCAAGCGCCTGTTGCTCTGCTCGCAGTTGTTCGTGACGCGAGATGAGATCAATCAGCAGCTGGCGTCGTGAAGATTGGAATATAAGCATGCCCATGATCTCCTCCATGCGCTCGCTGAGGTAGTAAAGCTCTTCGCCGCCCTGATCCGTGAAATTGCGGACCGCGACAATCTTCTCCCTGTCCACTGTTGACTTTCGAAGAGCCAAAAGGAGATGTCCAATGTTCAGGATTTCCATCTTCTCGACGTCTACGTTTGGATCGGGCCTGGCAATATTACTGACAAGCGTACTCGACGCATTCCGACTCAACATGTTAGCTGAACGTATCGTCCGAGGATGAATCGTGAAGTAGTCCGAAGTCAACTCGTGAGCCTTTTCCTGCGTTCTATGCACGTTACTCTTGCGCTTCCTCATGCGCAGCCATCTCCTTCTGCGCACAAAGCTGTGAAACCATGGATGATTGCCATGCCAGGCAAAAGTCGCGCCGGCACGGCCAACGAACGCAAAGCTGTACTCCCAGCCCTCCTCGTCTACGTCGCGACTCATGTCAACATACCAGCTCTTCCATGCCCACTCCCAACTTGGATCTGGCACTTGAGCGTTGCGGATGTCTACAGCGCTTGTTCGAAACTGGCCATTCTGCCAGGGCTTCGGATCGCTAGGCAGCAGTGAAGCGGAGGAGTACTTCGGAATGCCAAAGAAGAACATGCCTCGCTGGTTCTCGTAAAGAATGTCGATGACCGTGTCTTCTTCATCTCCTTTGCCGAGATTCTTCTTGCGTTTATACACGCCTTTGGCCTTATTCTGCAGGCGAGACTGAGCTCTGTCGAGATTTGATTGTGCACGTCCCAGGTAGCTGCCGCCTCTCTGGAAAGGCTTCGGCTCCTCTCCCTCTGATCCTCCCGGTGCTGCACTGGCAACCGTCTCGTCTGTGCCTCCTGGAGCTATGTTCTCTTGTGTGTGATAGCGGTCCTGTCCATACTTGGCATATTTTTGCTTGTTGTATCCTTGGCGGACGGTCTCCCTGAGCCCAGTGGAGGAATTCGTGAAGCGGTTATACAAAGTGTCCGGACCTGGTGACCCAGGAGTAGGATCGCTATCACTCAGTTCAGCAGGAGTCTCGCCTTGGTATGAAGGTGCTTTGGAGTCCGTGCGGTCGACGAGGACGATGTGGTGCTCAGCCTTGATTCGGGTGGGACTGGGCAGGCGAGTAAGGGAGGACGTGTCGGACATATTGGTTAAGATTGATTAATTATATTGGGTAGACGAGTCGAAGAGAAGCATGTGAAAGAATGTCACCTGGACTGAAGCTTGATGGGGTTGGTGAGAATGTCGCCGTGCGGAGTTGTTCGAGCGCCGAAGAGCACTTCACCCACGGATGGCACACTCTTGCGCGCGGGCTTCGGGTGGACGGCGAGCGACTCGGCTGAGCTCTTGGGCGACTCGGAGGTCGTCGTCGACATTGTTAGAACGCACGCTTGCTGTCCATCGAGGGCGGCCAGACGCGCATTATTGTGTTCGGAGACGGACGACGTGCAGCGTGAAAGCAGCAGCCAATGGCAAGCTCCCATCTGCCCGGTCTTTCCCCATCGAGCCAAGCCACACTTTCCGTGCCAGCAGGGAACGTGCTGCAGTGAACTCTAGGGAAGCTATGATCACCACTACGTCACATGCGTCGCTCGGTTGCTGGTGCTGGTGGCAGGAACGCTGAACGCACAGGAAAGCCTCCTTCGACCGCGAGCTCGGTGCTTCTTCTTCTACACACTCACAGAGGCTTCGATAATACACCGCCCTCCCTGGACACCTCGGTCGCAACTCAGCTTCTCATCACAACGCGGAACCATGTCGAACCGTGTTGTCACTTTCGGTGGCGCTGCACTTGCTGCGGGTGTAGGTTACTACTTCTACCAGGCCGGTGGTGACCCAAAAGTCGCCCAGAAGAAAGCCGAAGGTGAGTCGAATGCCAGTGGCTTCATGAGGGTGCGAGCATAGCTGATTGGCGATGACAGCCGACGCGGCCAAGATCTCCAACGAAGTCAAGTCGAACCTCCCAGGCTCAGGCAAAGAGGCGAAGAAGGAAGCGGAGGCATATGGTCAGGAAGCGCAGAGCAAGGTAAACCAGCTCTACAAAGACGCGAAGAACGAGGCTTCTAAAATCGACGATAAGCTTGAGGCATACCGTAAGGACGCCGCGGCCCAGCTGAACAGCGCAGCGAAAGACGCGTCGACTAGCGCGAACAAGGCGATTGACAAGTTCGACAAGAATGTGACAGAGGTGAGTGATCGGCTGTTCTGCAAACCAGGAAGGGAAGGGCATAGATGGGCGGGTGGCGACGATGGCGAACATGATACAGCATAAGCGCCTGCAGGAGGATATTGATGTGCGTAGCGTGAACGTGTGCTGACAGGTGTGATAGGGTGCAGAGAAGGCCAAGAGCGGCATCTCCAGCTGGTTTGGTGGCTCCAAGTAGATGGACAATCGGCACGGACGAGAGGAATGAGCAATGACTTGCGAGATGCATGCCACAGACAGTACATGTAATTGCATTCAGACCCTGTATAGTCTCGCTACGAAGCAGCTCTAAACCTTTGTCGAGCGGCACGTTTCCCGCCATGAATCATGGCAGCAGCAAGCCCTGCTTGGATTGGACGAAATGGTGTCGCTAGGTGGCGAGGCATTAATGCATTTTGCACTAAGCAGCTCTACGTACGACTGACTATACAGTCATGCTCATGACCTCGCAGAGCGACCTGCGAAGTGCCAGACATGGAGCGGTCAAAGAACACAGCAGAGTGATCGCTCTCCTGCCGTGATTTGTTGCTAGCAGCTTGGCGGACCATGATAGAAGTCGGGGTGTAGTCGGCAACTACCGTTCGAATGCTGAAACGGCAGGTGCGCGACTGCCTTGCTAGTAAGACTTCTTACGATACCGAGCAACATCATCTTTTCTTACCACAAGACACTCACAAATACGCAACGCATTGGGTTTAAGCACCGCAATAGCAGGCATGGCACCATGAAACGCTCGCCAAACTGAATGCTGACTTCGGGTAGACATGGACAGCTCACCACTCAAGCGCCTGCCCGGTGAAGTGCTCCAGCGTATCATCAAGCTCGCTCTCTCGCACGATGAGCCACTGGCTCTGTCAAAGATCAGCTCATACAACGGTCTAACACAGACCTGTCGCCAGCTGCGTTCCGACACCTGGGCACTGTTCTGGAAATTCAATACCTTCCGCGAACAAGAACCTACCGAAAAGATGGAGATCAGCAGGCACACCAAACGCCTCCAGTACCTACTCGGCATCAGTCCACTCGTCGTCAAGCATATCGCTGGTCTTGACCTCTCACTCGAACTCCGCACAGCTACGGCACAAAGTTGGCAGGTGTCGATCAAGCACGCTGAATCTCCTGCTGCAAACTGCGAGCAAGTGCTGGCTTCTGGCAACGACAGGATTGCCCAAGGCAAGGTGTGGGTGTTCAGTCGATATTTGGACAGGATTCTCGACGCGTACCAGCAAGCTGGTTTCGAGGTCTTCGCTACGCCGAAATTTGGTAGGCAGGATGGTGCCGTGAGACGGTTCTGGATGGTGCCTACTTGAAATGGTCTCATGCACTGAGAACACGGGCTCGATCACTGATATGAAATGGGATTTGCAACTACTTTGAAAGGTTACAGCTGTCGAAGGGCGAGGACTTGCGGGCCATTAACGATTTTGCTGTACAGTGACGCATGTAAGGAGGTGAGAATTGCTAGCGGGCGAACCCCTTATACGATCAATTCCCAACGCTTCACGCTCTCAACCAACAGCTATCAGCCATACGCTTACTGGATTTGATACTCTTTGTCCGAAGCTACCAAATGAAAAGTCCGGCATCCTCAAGAGGTGGTGCTCGGCCGGAATACGATCTGTGACACCTTCTGCACGTCCTTCAACTCTTGCAAGTACGGAGGCAGCTCTTCACAACACTTAGTAGGCGCAGTCTGATGAGCCTTAAGCAAGCCGACAGCCGTGAAACCTCGCTGTCTCCAACGGAGCATGATATATGTCAATCCTCGCTAAATACATATTCCTCGCAAACAAGAAAAACATAGGAGACCTTCGTCGCCTTCCGCTTTTGCTGATATTTCGCGACCATGTATGTATGCGCGAAGGGGATCCTTTGTCGTCAGTTGGTGTATGTAGGCGGGATCGTCGCCAATGATGTGTTCGCTCGATGAGCGTGAGCGAGAAGGGGCAGTCGTCATTTGCTGTTCAATTTCGATAGAGTCGAGTACAGGGCATGTTTCGTGTGCTTAGCAGATGTCAATTACCACCATGGCTGCGAACTATTGATTATGCTGCGTATACTATCTGATCTTCAATGCGTGTCATGGACATGGTGGATGTTCAATCACATTATTTGACACCATTATGAGCCATTTCGCAGCTTTTACCCGTGCGGTATGCGTTACTCACTGCTTTCGAAGCCGGCGTTCTCGCAATGTCATGTCTGGTCTTCCAGATCCTTGCCGATGACAGAGACCGAAGTAAGGAAAAGGGTGGCTGTTTTCTGACATTCTCTCCTGCAGTGTGATCCATACCTAATGTCGACGATTAGATAATTGTACATCGACGCTGAACGCTTCATAGGAACTCACCTGGGACTCTGTTGCTCAAGTACTCGTGATGGAAGGTGTGATGAAAATCGCTTCAAAGCGACCGTGGTTGCAGAGCAAGTCGTAATGACCGGGGGGGGGGGGGGGGTGCAAGAAATGTGATCTCGTAGAAGGAAATCCGACAACCAGGAACTCAAGCTTTTAGGAAAGAGAGGTAGGTCGCAAATGGACGGCAGCTGCAGCGTAATAAGAATGTACGAGTGTTGGATACCGATGTTCTGCGGTGACTAGTGAGCCTTTGAAATTCATTTCCGACTTTCCATGATAGCTTGACTCAACTAACAGACTTGTACTACGCAATTAACGTAAGCATAGAATGCGTGCGAAGAATTGACTTTGTAGGGAGTATCATTGAGTGTGCGATGCGGAGCTCACCTGGTGTGGCCTGAGAAACAGTCACTCGAAGTCGGAAATGTATCGAAAAACGATGCAAATTGACGTTGAGGGCTCAGAGCACACAGACCGACAGAGCTCCAAGGATGAAGGAATACTTGAGGTGAGCCTGACTACCTCACGTTCAACCCCGCGAGGCAAGGCGACTCCGTACCGAAATCGCTACTGCACATAGCGAGGTGGCTCCCGTCATATCTTGAGCGAAGACAGCGTTGGAAATGCTGACTAAAAACCTGCTTATTTCTCACTTTGGGTGGCTCCTAGGTACGCTTTCGACGTTCCAGGCGTGATGAAAGTCATTGCAAACAAACACGGCGAGCTTGCAGCGCAGACGATAGCAGAGTGCAACGCCCTAAGTCATGCTTACAGTGAGCCTTCACCACTCACTTTCGACCTTTCGAGAGAACTTCGCTCCGAGTCACACTGGCTGCTGTGTATTTCGAGTAGAATCCAGTGTGTTTTGAGGTAGATTGTTTTGCGGAGTTCGGCCGAAAGTGCATCATCGTGCGCTCATGTCGAAGGCTCTCGAAGCCAGCCACTCGAGATGTTGAAGCGATTGTGAGCGCTGCAAAAGGACATGGAGTCCGTGGACGGTGAGAAAAGTGTGAAGTCACAGCGGACTTTGAGCGGCGCTGGAGGATTTAAGCGCGATTTTAAGCTTAAAATCTAGTCTGTACCCGACAGCACGGCGCGTTCTCTCTGTCACGGAGCTAGGGATGTTGGAATACACACTTCCGGAAATGCAGCCTTTGTACATAGTGTAATACACCTGAGTACACCCGTATACACAGATGGCCTCATAACTTATTAGGCAAAGCGTAACTAAGCATATACTAAAGAGGAAGGTTAGGGTTACTAAGGCTATAGACTGCTATATAGTACGATTAGCTAAATGTCCGCGATTCCTTCGACCTAAGAGCCTCTCGTCAATTCTCGAATAGCCGATGCTTCTGCCTGCTAAGTCTATACATTATTATCTAGACCTAGAGTATATAGCGGCTCCTATAAGGTAGTATTAAACCTAGTAGCATTGTTAGCCTCCTATGCCTCCTATACGGTAATAGCTATTATAGAAGTAAATGCCTCTTATAGTAGGTCTTGTAGTATATCGTAGAAGTCGTCGTTGTCGTTACCGCCGGCATTAAGTCTATACTTAATCCGCAGGTTCTAATAGCAATAGACTAGCATCTCTATATACTCGTAAGACAGGCGGTTACGGCGAAGGTTATAGATAAAGCTATAAGCTAACTAGTTGCGCTTAGCAGCACCGGTTGTTAGACAGATTAATAGAGCTAGTATATATAACTCGGCGAGTTTAGGATACTCGCTTTTAATAAGGTTATGCCACTATTGTAACGAGCTTATATTCTTTGCCGCCTACTAGACGATATTGTTACTAAACAAGCCGCTACGGTTGCGTAGAGTGTAGAGATTAGTAAGCAATAAGGCCGCTCTGTCTTCAACCTCGGCGGTAGACTCTAGTACGTATTTAAAGCTAGGTCGGCGGCTATTACGGCCTTATAGAGTGCACTATTTAGTAAGGTATCTAGTGAGTCTATAGACCTCGTCGTTGCCAACTAGAATAGCCTGTTTATCCGGATCTTGTCGCTCTCGAGCATTAGCGAGGTACGCTATAAGCATTAGGGGATGATATAGCTCGTCGTATCGAATACTAATTATTTCGGTAATAGTATTTATTAGAATGAAGTCGTTAATAAAGGACTGGTTCTAAAGCTATCTATAATTCGAGTATACGTGCGAGAGTAATAGTTTGTCGGTTTCGAGGGTAATAGTAACCTTAAGGAAGGGCTCTATTAGTTTGATATATCTACGAGTTATTAGCAATAGCCGGCTTTACTACTTTAGTAGCTATAGAATACATACTCGTTTAAGCGCTTCTAGAAGCTATTATTCTTAGTAAGGTAGCAAATATGCTCCTAAGCAGCGCGCTACTCACTGCTTAAGCCTAACAATAGGAGGTGTTCTTATATACGAAGTTCTTGTATCTAGAAGCGGTTCTCGAAGACTACCCGAGCATAGTATAGCTAACCTTGCTAGCGAGTGTTTCTAGGGCTTTGAAACCGCCGTACTTTGCTATTGCTAAGTTGTAGGAGCAGTTTAAATAGAAGATAGGTATTCTTAAAGTAGTTTGAGACCGCTAGAATCTTAGTGTAGAACGAGTCTACGGTAGTGTAATTATAAATGTCGTTTATAAGCAATTTAGTAGTATAGGAATAGCAACCTAAGGTAACGAGGCGGGGCATCTCGGCTTAAACCTAATCTAACAGTTAGCTACTCGATAAGTAACGATAAGACGGCCCGTATACGGAAAGTGCCGCCGCTCGTCTACTTCTAATCTTTAAACTTACTAACCTCGAGGCCTTCGCTATAACATTCGCATTATTAGCAACTAACGCAATAACCTTATCCTTCTATAGCGCTATTAATCGCTTTAGGCCTTTAGCGTGATTTTCTGCTATACTACGATTAGTACTAGTTAGCTTATAACCGACGAAAAACGCTACCCGAGGCGTAATAGCGAGATAATTAGTATTCGACCTTCTAGCGGTGTCCTTCTAACTATTACTCGTATATATAATACGAGAGCTCTTCGATATCTCTGCATTTATCTCCGCCTATAGCCGCTTATAAATTCGAGGGAGATACTTATATCGAATTTGCTAGCGAGAAGGTAGTATAAAAGCAGGACGAAGAACCTTTAGCTATTCCTTAAATTAGGGGTTATTAGTAATAGATAACTCCTTACTAGAGGCCAACACCTACTTAGTTAGCTTCTTACAAGTAGCATCGTGCTTAGCCGGAGACATATAGTCGATATAGCTATTACCGCCGATAAGAATAGTTTGCTTTGCCTTAACAACTCGAGCGCTTCGAGGCACTTTATATTCGCTACTCTTAGCTAGGCCAATATCCTCGTCGACAGGCACCTTCTTAGGCTAATACTCCTCCTAGTATTCCTTAGGGAGAACACGGTATATAGATAGATAATTAACTACCCGCCCTTTAGCACTCGAAACCTATATATTACCGCAAAAGTTGCACTTAACCCTTAGGTGGTTCTTACTATTAAGCTAGGTACGAGTTACTAATAGCTAGTATAGATCCTCTATCCGTTTCCGCTTATTTAGTATAGAGGCACCTAGCAAGAGGCGTTGTTAACTAGAAGACAAGTTGTCGGATATAGTAGTAGCAGTATTTAGCTTAGTAAAAGAGATAGAATCTAATAGGCAAGGTAATGTCGATTAATAGGGACAAAGAGCTGAATTCTACTGCAAAATGGTCTATTATATCCTCTATAAACAAGGCCTCTATGCCGCTTAAATTCCGCTCGAGATACTACTAGAAACGCAGTCCTTCCTTAAAAATTTTTTTATACTAGCTATAGTATTCTAGCTGCATATATAGTGTTCCCTTTAATCACAATCTATCGCATTCTATACGCGATTATATATACAAACGCGGACCTGACGCGACAAGACACGAATTCTAGCGATAAGAATGTAATACTTCTAAGGGCGTATATGTCTAGTCGACTAATAGGCGGTAATAGCGGCTAAAGCTATCTACTTAGCCTAGCAGCCAGCAGCGGCTCTAACACCTATTGGTACCGATAACTATTAATAATGGGGCCTTTTGCGGGTACACACCAGCTAAATTTCCCACCCCTGCGTACATAGTGTATTACAGAGTGTGTACACCATACACAGATCTGTGCACTCCATCCCTACACGGAGCCCGTGCACGCTCGCAAAAGTTCACCAGCTGTTTCCCTCCTGCACCTCTCTTCCTTCTGCATTTCACACCAAACGCGTTTCTTTGGCAGCCGTCACCACCACCAGCATAGACCAGTACAATTGCATACGAGCACACACCAGAACCTGCCACAATGGCGCCAAAAAAAGCACAGCAAGCGACAACAGCCACCCGTCGCAGCACCAGGATCGCCTCCAGGGCAGGAAGCTCCCGCGCGTCTTCTGTTGCCCCGGAGGAAGAAAAGAGTGGTTGGTTTCCCATTTCACCTGCGCACCTCCCAAGACATGATTGCTCAGTCGCTCATCCCCGAGAAATAGCCAATCATGGCATCCAAAAGCGTTACGCGCGTCAGAAAGTCAAGAAGGAACTGCCCTTTTCTTCACTTTTGGCGATCGAGCGAATTGTCGGCGGCGACCGCGCGTACATACAAACACTGACTCAGAGTCAAAAAGAAGCTGTGATCACCGCATTCGCCGGTCGCGAATTGGACTTTCAGAGGCAGGTGCGCGACCTCCAGCGCGAAAATCAGCAAATTCGTCTCGAAAACGAAGAGCTCTCGAAGCGCGCCGCATCAGCTCCAAACAAACTCAGAGACACCTTTCTCGCAGAGCGAATCGCGCAATTCCAGCGCGAAGAATTAAAAAAAGACGCTTCTCAGACACCAAAGCCTTCCAAGGTCGCCTCGAGAATTTCCACACCAGCTGCCGCCAAGATAGAATTGAGCGAGCAAACCGATTTCGAGTTCTCACAAACCAGCGTGATTGAAGGCACACCGGCAGTAGTCCAGACACAGCAGACTGAGACACCATTTCCAAGCACAACGCCTCAAAATGAGACACCATCGCGCAGATCCTTCTTTGGATCTTTGTTCCGCAGCTTCACCACTCCATTTTCTTCGCGCAAGACTGCAGCACTAGCCCCATCCCCAGCACCACAGACTGAGCAGTCCGAACTCGGAGAGCTGCCAGCATCCCGCAAGCGCCCTGCGCCAGCGCCGGAACCATCGCCAGAGCCACTACAGCAGTCACGCCAGCGCCAGTCAGAGCCAGAGCCACAAATCCCGCGCATTGCCATCTCAGAGACTCCAGAGAGAGCCCAGGCACCACGAGCGACTTCCAATACACCCACACAGCACCGCACTGTTGTGGAGCGAAGCCTCGCAACCATCACCGAGTACACTGAGCCTTCGGAACAGGCTATTACCAGACCAGAGCCAACGCCGTCGCGTCAGCCTCGACGCATTCGCGACACCAGAATGCGAGCATCGGCGCACTCTGCCACACCAAGCCGCGCATGGACACCACAACCAGCGCCACGTGAGCCCAACGCGGACCGCAGACTAGAGAAGCTGCGAAAGTACCAAGAGTTGGATCAACAGCTAAGAGCTATGAAAGCCGACCCAGAAACCAAGGAAATCGTTGAACGCCCAATGAAGCGCGTCAAGATTGACGATCTGGTTTCCATCCCACACAATCGGCCTGGAGATGCCAAATCGACCTTCCGCATGTTCGAGATCGATTCTGACGAAGAGATGGAGGTCGACGAAGATGTCGAAACGCGGTCAAACGTGTTCGAGACTTCAGAAAGCAATGAAACTCCAAAAGTGCCAGAAGCACCAGTCAAGAGAGCGGAGATTACGCCTGCGGTTGAGATTCCACAACCAGCGGCACCAAAAATCCACAATGTCTACGATTTCAAGTGGACTGTCGGACGATCGGAGACCACAGTTGAGATGGTCCGACCTCAGAAAGAGAATGAGGTCTTTCAGTGGCCAACACTGCAACCACGAACCAAGCCGCCTCTCGAAGGAAGGGAGGCGTATTTTGCAGCTGCCACATTTGCTTATGGCATGGCATTTTTTGAGAAGCATGGAGCAGTCCCGGCGGGACTTTTTTGAAGGAGTTTTGCATGAATTGGGAGCTTCCGCTCCATTTTGGGATGGCATTCTGAGCGTTTTGGGTTGTTTGCGGTGTTTGAAAAGGATTTTGAATTGAGAGCGACTGTTTACGATGCCCTGCAGGCATGGGCAGGAAGGCCAAAATGGCATGATGATATGAATGAATGAGCATGCATTGTACCAATATTGAGCCCTTTTCCAGCGTCGCTCCTGCGGTTTGATGGGGTACCAAGCTACTAATGTTAGATACGGACCGCGATAGTGCATCGATGCGATGGAGTCAGCGCGTGGTGAGTACACTGGGATATTACCTCCCTCGGCTGTTCCTGACCAGATCTAGGCGTTCACTTCCGCTGCTTTAACGAGTGCTACGCCACTCAGCTCACAACTGGAGAGCTATAGAGCGTTAAGATCGCGCAGCTAGAGTGAGGTGAGCTCGATGAAATTTCACCTCTGTGAGCTGTTTCTCACCATTTGTAGGCTTCCGCTTTCGCGACCCTTGGGAGCGCTATGCCACTAGGCTCCGCACCGGACAGCAATAAAGCGATGCAATCGCAGTGAGCAGATTGAGGCGACTAGACTCTGACCTAGCACGCCAGCGTGAAACTCCGAGAAAGAGGCTTACGACCATGGTACATAATTTTACGTTCGAAAGACTTTTCAGACATCTCACTGATCCTAGCATCTCTAGCCCAACTTGGTCCTCCAGCTCAAACGGTTCACTCGGGCTGTGCTATCAACGTCGCTCCTCGCCTCATCAAGACCTACGCCCAGCTTGAAGTCGTTCTCAAGGGAGTGCCTTGTGGCATCACATCTGAAGGCTTCTAGATTGTCCTCAGCTGTGCATGCGCCTCAAGCAAAGATTTGTAACTATGCAGGCGATATCGCTTCTCGTCGCTTCAGAGCCTAAGCTTCGCTCGGAGACGCTTCCAAGAGAGCTCCAAACGACTTCACTCCCTATGGTATTTTAAATTTACAACTCAAGTTGAATCTTAGGACATTGCCATGGAGGCCACTTCTCGATGCTCCAATGCTCCGCCAGGCTTTGAGTTACTCGCTGAGACGCGGCTTAAATGAGACAAAAGTCAAGACCCCTTGTCACAACAGGACTTAACAACGGTATGCACAGACCACTTTTCGTATGCAACAACGCTAAGGGCTTCTCTCGTTTTCTCAGTCTCGCTCGACCTTATTCCAAACTATCCTTTGAACAACATCCGCAGCCATGAAGCAGTTTTCTCGACCCATGTGGGTGTGGAACACATACTCCATCATCAGCTCTTCGGCAACAACTGCTGAGCTCCTTTCAGCCGCAAATTGCTCTTCTATCACCGACCTTTACCCGTACATGGACGCATCGCATTATGGAACATATTTCGATTTAATCAGAAGCTTCATCTCAAGATCATACGCACTCAACATCCATGTCTGGGCTCTTGAAGGAGGAAGAGTCTATTTCAGCGACACGGACGGCCCAGCTCACTTCTACAAAGGCATCCAGAACCTCATCGGCTATAACACTCAAGTCCAGGCGAGCGAGAAGTTTGCAGGCTTCTCAGCTGATCTGGAGCCATATGCAAGAAACCCGTCGGGGTCGTTGCACGGATCGTTCCACAATGGCGTTAAGGATTCCGACCTTGAGACTGCAGCCGGAACCGGAGTGTGGCAGGAGTCACAGGCTGCAGATCGCTCTGCTCTCATGCGCGACTGGCTAGACATCCATCAAGCCGCCAAAGCCATGTTGAACGCAGCTGATTTGCCACTAGCCGCAGCATTTCCCCATTGGACTTCCAATTACTGTGGTGAGCCGCTACAGGTGAGGTGGCCAGACGAGAATGCGACTCTTCGAAATGTAATGGAACTGATGATGACTTGTGTTGACGACTACGTGGTCATGAGTTATCATACTGAGCCTACGCATGCTGCCAATCGCGTGGTCAAAGTGGCCGAGTGTGCATCGCGGCTGAGGCTGTCAGGAGGTAAATGCAGACCGCGTGTTTTTGCTTCGGTCGAAACGACAACCGGAATTGGAGAAAGGGTCTCTTACGGCGATGCGGCCATTGGATCGTCGAGGGCTGCTGTGATCAAGGATATCGATATTATAGTGGCTGGGCTCCAGGAGCATGATTCTTTCGCGGGCGTAGCCATTCACGCATGGTCTGGCTGGCGCGAGCTTTCAGAGTGAGGTAAGGAAATAGTCAGAAGATCTGAATGAAGTTGCGCTTTACAGAATTATGCCAGGAAAAGAGCCCAAGCGCCATCTATGCCATTCACGGTGTGTTCCAAATGCATATTTTGGACTGCGCTATTGAATTTTCCCAACACTGCAAAACCATTCCACGTACACTCCATCCTGCTCGACAGCCTTAATGACACTCATATCAAGTCCAGGCTGGTCTACAGCAACCACTATCCCATCGAATTGCCGAAGATGCTGCACATTCCACTCTGACTCGTTCAGTCTCGGAATACTTGCAATAGCACTTTCATCGACCAAAGGGTCAGCGTACTCAACATATACGTTGTAGTTGCTTAGGAGGTGTGTCGCCAAGGCCAGTGCAGGAGAATGCGACAACACAGATTGACCACGTTTGAATCCCAATCCAACGACCAGAATGGATGTTCTTTCTTTGAAGTCTCTTTGCAGTCTCTTCATAATTCGATCACCCATACGGGCAGGTCGCTCTCGCATTCTCGTCGTGCATGCCTCGAGTAAGGGGAAGTCCGAGTTGGAAAGGAGGTAGAATGGATTGCAGGGTATGCAGTGGCCTCCGACGCCAAGTGAAGGCGAATAAGACATGTAACCAAAGGGTTTCGTCGCGGCCGCCCTTGAGACTTCAAGCGGGTCGATTGTAATCTTTGAACTGCTCTCTTGTTTCTGAGTCAGCGTTCGTGACAGTTGAGCACACGCATCAGCCATTTCGTTTGCGTACGCAATACACATCATGCGTTGACAGTTCTCGTATAACTTGGTCATCTCTGCGACTTCTGTGCTGGACACAAGAACCAGGTTTTGGAAGACACGAGCGTACAAAGATCTAATTGACTCCAGTGACGCGGTGTCGAGGCCCGAAACGATCTTTGGAATCGCGGTGTAATGCGGGTACGTTCTTCCAGGATCAACGCGCTGTATCAACGCGTGGGTTAGCTCGAGCTTCGGTATGACTACTGATGGGAAGTTTGACAAACCTCCGGTGACATGCCGCACCTGAGCGCTCTGGAGTCCATCAAAGGGGACAGAAGCTCTCTTGTCATCCCGACGGCGACTGAGCTTTCGATCACAACTGTCGATCCAGGCTGCGCATGCTTTTCAACAGTGTGGATTGCTTTCCGAATGCACGAGGTATCGATGTTTTGCTCAGAGTCGATCACTGTACTGACCGAGATGAGAAAGTGTGTCGCCATCGCAAGTTTGCTAGGGTTTGATGTGCATTCGACATTTGGCGGGAGAGTGTCTTC